GCCACCGCCGCCAAGCCGCCGACTGTAAACACTATATAGTCTTTAATCAATGGGGTTTTTAGTCCTGTTTCCAAGTATTTGGACAAATGGTGCCTTCAGTTTTAACTTCAGCTTGGAATTGAGGGGGACTGTTGTCTCTGATGGTTGGGAGATCTTCATCCAGGGGTTTCTCCAGGACTTGGCGTGGGACCAGTCTGGTTGCCCAGCAGGTCCTTCTTTCTCCATTAGCACAGCGGGTTCTTCTGCTTTTCCAAGCATTTGACTTTCCTTGGTAGGCAAGACAGAACTCTCTATCCGCCTTTCTATTTTTTAATCTGATGTCTACATGGGGAGGGTCTTTGGATGACGCCTGGATGTCCGTGTTCCACCCCAACCCAGTGTCTCTACTGGGGGGGATTTTTATAGGCAGATTTTGGAGGCCCAGTTAGGACCAACTTGAAACAAGAATGGAAAGTTATTGTGTTCCCAGCTAAGAAGTTTTGTAGTAAATTTTAAAAAAATAAAACAGAAACACTTAAAATTAAACAATGAGAATTCAAAAACCCCAAAGCATTCTACTTTTAAAAAAGTATTCACCTATAGGACTTTAAAAAAAGAAAAGCTGAATACCCACAGCTGAGTAAGAACTTATGAGGGGCAACCAAAATGCTTCATCGCATTTGAGAGAGCAGAGGTTTTAAAAAGAGGTTTTTAACCATCCTGCTGTCCAATACTCCACAATCCACCATATCCTTGGCCGCCTAAATCTTATCAGCACTCATGACATTTCTTGTATTCTAAATCAATTTGTGTGATGGGCAGCCATATAAATGTGATTAATAAATAAAGTTCAAGATTGTAACAAGGGCAGGGAAAAAAATAACCCAAATGAAATTCTTCTGCAAAGTCCCTGGAACAGATCAATGGTTATTGGTTCTCTGGCCAAAGAAGAACCAGTCGTCGGATCCTGGCCATTTGCAGAATCATTATTTCCAATTATTCTACAGACTGCCCTTTCCAGTTCTAGTCTCTGCTTGTTTTAATATCTAGCTTCCTTGGTACAACATGTTCTTTAAAAATGCAAACATGTCTGCGTCATTTATTTCCCAGTCTCCTTTGGCTACTTTCTAAAGACCGTTTTTTCTTTGTGGAGAAAAGAGAGGTGAAGGTGAGCTCCCCGACAAGCTTAAATCGGTCATCTCCCACCTGGAACTCTTCTCAAATTCCAGTCCTCCAGTTGATGATGTTGATGAGGGTTATCATTGTTATCATTATGAATTCCTCTCCTCGTAAAACTGGCTGAGATGGAAAAGATAGAAACTGCTACATGGTGAGGAACTCCCCAACTGATGACCACACAAAAGATCAACATGTTGTTGTGAGCGTGATGGTCTTGATGGGCCTCCAGGGACACCTTTGAGCCCAAAGAGGTCCTCCCTGAAACGTTCAAGAGCCGCCTGCTCCCGGCTTGCAACCCAGACAGAAAACAGGGAGGTGATGGGGCCAAAAGGCTGGTCACAATTTTGCTTCCTTCTCCTAAAGTGCTCCAAGCTGTGGGGTGGTTCCCAGGCTGGATTTGATGTGTCCCCTAAAGCCCACCCATCCTCCGCTCATATTTCAGTCCTGCCCCAAAGGAGAGCCTGTTCTGAGCAGTGAGCCCTCTCGTTGGCATATCGCCAACCAGGACCAGGCAGCCCTACCACACCAGAACGGCTGATGATCACTGTTCTCATAAGTCACCCAAGTATTCTGAAACAGCATTGGACTTTATATATATGAATATATATTTATGAAATAAAATGAAAATATAGGGAAACAGGGCAGGAAAAACAGGGAAAGAAGTGTGGGGGAAGGGGGGGAGGAGAAAAGAAAGCATTAACTTCCAACTCTTTTCAGTGCAGTAGAATAAAAGTAGTCAAATTATCACCTTGACTGTTTACTTTCGCATACTTACTATAGACTACTAGCCATCCCTGTAACAACAATCTAATCAGCAAATCCCAAAGTCATAATTGCATTTTTTTTGTCTCCAGCATGAAGTCCAGAAGGAGATCCCACGCAGATAAAAAGCTGGACATGTCCTTTTCTTTGATTACAGCAATTCACTTGGCCCTCTGCTGATTCCTTCAGTTTTTCCATCCGTTTGTCCCTTGTGGGCATGGGGGCTTATCACTCCTGTCGAACCAAAGGTGTTCTGGATGAGAGATTCGTGTTTTCCCAGGACTCCAAAGATCTTCGCAAGGCCAACCTTGATCAAAAGGAGATGAATTTCAAGGAAGGGGGGGCTTTTCCCCTCCTTTTTGATGACACAGTTGATTTTTCCACCAAGTGATCAATATGCCATAAGCATAAAAATGCCCATTTAATGCAGCAAGCATACTTTTTTCAACAGAAGTGGTGGCTGAGATTGTCCTTTGTAAAGAAAACAGCTGGCATGTGGCTGTGCTTTCAGGTTGGTCACAAGGCTGGGAACCAAGAGGTGCATGACTGGGACTTGAAAACATCTTGTGCACCATGAATACCAAATAGGCATCACATTGAGAGAAGGAGGAAGACGAAGGAGAAAGAAATATTTGGGAGACTGTTTGGGGAGGTCTCGAAAACGAGCTACCAAGGCTGTGCTTGACCTTGTAGACCAGGCTGTCAAACTGCCAGCCCATGGGCCAAATGCATCACGCTGAAACTGCACCCACCCTATTGCCGGCAATGGGGAAAAAGTTGTGATACGTCGCGCGACATCATGTGACGTTGCGAGTTTGACATGCCTGCTGTAGACTATCCACATGTTCTTGTCTGTCCAGCAATGATCCAGAGCTTCAGCACAGACAGAATGAACTTTGCCATGCCTGTGGAGAAGACAACCTAAGGGACTCTCAACCTGTCACCATAGGCAGAACTGAAACCTCAAGGTGTATTATTTCCATCTCCAACACCTTGGTGTCCCCAATCTGTTGCTTGAGGAAACTGCACAATGGGAGGACCGGTCCAGTTCTCTTCCAGCCGTGGTGTGCCCAATGGTTAGAATGCAGTATTGCAGGCTAATTCGGCCCACTGCCAGGAGTTCAATCCCAACCAGCTCCAGGTTGAGTCAGCCTTCCATCCTTCCGAGATTGGTAAAATTGTTGGGAGCAATATGCTGACTCTATAAACCATTCAGAGAGTGCTGTAAAGCATTATGGATGGTATATACAGTAAGTCTAAGTGCTACTGTTATCGCTGATTGCTTTCAGATTTAAAGGATACTCTCTGTCACTTTTTCTAGGCCATTTTGCTAACAGTACCACAAGAGACTCTTAGACTAAAGGAGAATGGTTTTTCCAACTCAAAACTAGCTCAGATCTAATTGAACTGTTTGAACTAACTAAGTTTCTCCATGCATTTCCTGCAGCTGGTGGCACCTGGCATTCTTCACCAGATGAAGCTTTCTCCAGAGAGATTACGGATACTGGGTGCCTGAGATATGGACAAACTATTGAGAAATATTAAAGAGTAGTTTTTCTCCCTCCAAGTTTGAAAAGGAACACTCAGTTGGTTTTCCTATGTTCTTGTTGCCTAGGAAACTGCAAACACTATTAAGAATTTTGCATACCCTAACCCTTTCCTCACTACAGAACATAAATGCAGATATACTGATCTAATGTAAAGCTGATTTTATAAACTCTCCATACAAAGCAATGAAGACCTGTCAAGAATAATAAAAAAAAATTCATCTAACGTCCCATCAAAACATTCATATTCATCTGTTGGTATTACTAGCATAATAAACGTCTTCTCTGTGCACAAGAACACATCCAGAGTACTCCGACAGCACCAAGGTACGTGATCCTATTTGAGAAGGAAGCCCTTGACTTAATTCAGAAACCCAAACACGGTCTCCTTTTCCAAACCTTTCAGCCTAAAGTTTAGCCAAGCAGGGCATCTTAAAGGCTTCGCACTGAACCAAGCCTGGTGTGCGAGGGGAATTCAGCGAAACTCATCTTGCCTTTGATGACCCTTAGCTAATCCCCAAATTTAAGATAAGAATTGTATCTCGCCTAGCGGTCAGAGATGAGGAGATATGCTGAATTAACTCCTGGATGTGGGGAAGGCATAAGGAGGGATCACACTCCTTCGACCGGTTCTTTTTGCATTCAGATCTTGGTCACATGAGGGCTGGTGGGGTTATTTAACCAGTCCCTGGGCAGAGCTTCTCCTATGAGCTGGGCTCCTGAAAGGAATATGGAGGACAAGACAATTTTCCTATCCCGCACTATAGCTTTTGCAGCCGCCCACAAACTGAACAGGTAAGGGTTGCCAAGAGACCCACACAGGGTGTGGGAATCTGAACCTTGAGAAGATAGTAGGAGGGCTACTTTGGGCTTGGTTGCTCAGCCACAGTCCGAACTGGCCAACGCTGGATCTGGGTGAAGAGCCACTGCAGGGATGAAAGGCAAACCTCAACCAACCTTGTATCAAAGGGCAAGGATGTCCAACTAATTAGAACATAGAACAGTAAGGTCTTCTAGTCCAACCCTTTGCCCGTGGCAGGAGATCCTATACCATTTATGTTTAAATATCTCCTTCACAAACTTCAGAGAAGAGGTCCACATAAAAGCTAAAGGGTTTTACAACCCATGCTTCCCCTTGCCTTTCTCCTCCACTTCCTGTGAAGGCTACAGCACATCTGTGCGAAATATATTTTTGGAAAAATAATTGGCTGGCAGGGTGGACAGAAAGTGGTGGAATTTCAGATAATTCAGCCAATTATATTTCCAGAAACTGAAGCTCTCCAGTACTTAAAGGTATGCTGGCTTGGCTTTGGGATCAGCTGCTAGGATGAGATCCCTCCCTGCAAAAATACCTTCTCTCTTTCTACTGAAACATGGTTATTCTTTTCTCCTCCACCCGACTGTCTTTCAGCAAACATCTGAGCAAAGATGAAAACAGGATCACCTTTGGGAAATGCAATCACAGCCACGGACACAATTATCAAGGTGCTGGGCGTGGTTGAGGACCAGGGCTTTGGGGAGGGGGCATGAATCCCTGGATCTGTTTCCCTGGCAGGGAGGGGGGCAGACCGCCAGGCTTGGAAAAGTGGCCATTCCTTGGTTAATCTCTTGCTACCGTCTGTTTCTTCAACGTTTGCTTCCACCTTGAGGGAGAGAAGCAGGATTGCAGCTAATGACTTAACTGTACTTTCTTTTCTCTTCTTTCTGGGCCACACAGTGACGGTCACTATACGTGGGAAGGTGAGTAACATTTTTATATTTCTCCACCCTTTGGGAGTTCAAGGCTTAAGAATGAGGAGCAGCTGGCCAAGGCTCCATTTCATCGGTTTGGCTCCAGTCTCTTTTAGTTCAGCCCTTTTTCCAAGTCTGGCCTCTTTATATGTCTCAAATTAGAATTTTCACCACTTAATTCAATTTTCCAGTTTCAGCTTTTTAGCCATCGGAAATCTCCCTCCCCCCCCCCATGCTGGGCAACGAGAAAGTTTTCATTATTATTTTTTTCTAAGAACTGGCATCCAGGGATACGTGGCAGCAGCCTGTGGGGATTCTGCCATGCCCTCTCTTCTGGATGCTCCTGGGGTGGCATAGAAAAAAACATAGAATAAAGTTAGAAGGGACCTTGGAGGTCTTCTAGTCCAACCCCTTGCTCGAGCATTTCAGACAAATGGTTGTCCAGCCTCTTTTTGAAAGCCTTCAGGTGATGGAGCAACCACCACTTAAGGCAAGCTATTCCATTCGTTGACTGCTCTCGCCTTTAAGGAAATTTCTCCTTGGTTAGTTTCCAAGCACCGTTTCTTGTGTTTCAGTGCTTTGAAAAATAGTTTGACCCCGTTTTTGTAGGAGCCTCTCAAATACTGGAGCAGTCTTCTTTTCACTAGACTAGACGCACGCAATTCCTGTAACCATTCTTCGTATGTTTTAGCCTCCAGCCCCTCTCGTCATTTTTACTGCTCTTCTCTGGACCTGAGAAGCCTTTTGTAATAACTCAAATGTTTCTATGGTTTTGGTTAGCCAACTAGTTATTCCACTTATTTTTCCCACTTACATCATCATCACCACAGGTTCGGTTCCTCTACTTTTTCATTAGGGGAAAAAGAAAAGCTATCCCAAGTGGGAGAAAGGACCTTTTTTTCCTCATATAAGTGAGGACTTGATAGGCCCCACCATGCTGAAGATGAACAAGGAAAGTGGGAATAAAAACGAAGGAGAATTAGACATCTATGGAGATTCTCAGTCATCCAGGTCATAGTTATCCCAAAGATGCTTTTTCAAGAGGCAACTGGACAAGAAAGTCCCGTTGCCTGGTAAAAAAAAACGTCTTTGGGAAAGGGGGAAGGCAGGGCCAGCTGCGTGGCTGGGATGCAGTCCCCGTGTGGCGGCTCGCAGCCTCTGACAGACGCTACCCTTCCTGCATGTGGTGCGGTTCCTGTAGAGTTGGCTGTTGTGCATTTCGGTTTCCCCGTGGATCTTTTTCTGTCTGTTAAAAGGAAAAAAATTTCCCCTGCAGATCAACCCCATCAGCGGCATGCTCATGAACATTTGCAAACTACATGAATACATGGAGGTACTTTATTTGTGTCTCGCATTTATTATTTTTACAAATAAGTCGGCGAACATATCCAATAAACCTTCCTCCTCCTATTTTTTCCCCACAATAACAACCCTGTGAGGTAGGTTGGGCTGAAAGAGAGGGACTGGCCCCAAAGTCAGCCAGCTGGCTTTCATGGCTGAGGCAGGACTTGAACTCATGATCGCCCGCTTTCTTGCCTGGCGCTTTAAACACTACACTAAAAAGGTTCTGTGCTGGAATAAAACCTGCCGGCCTGCTTCTGTTGAAAGCGTTTGCTAAGAGGGGAAAGGAGGGGAGGGGGCCCGATTCACTTGGGTGCAGGAGCATCCACTTCATTTCCCGGGAAAAACATGTTTTTTTTAAAAAGTTGGCTTTTCAGAAATCAATGGACAAAACATGAGTCCGACAGCCGGGGTTCTGTTTTTCTTCTGTCCCCATCTACAGATAGTCCTCAACTTACAAAAGTTCATTTAGTGACCGTTCAAAGTTACATCAGCACTAAAAAGGTGACTTAGGACCAATTTTCACAGTTACGACTTTTGCAGCATCCCCTTGATCAGGTGAACAAAATTCAGACGCTTGGCAACTGGTTCATATTTATGACGGACGCAAGGTCACGTGATCCCCTTTAGCAACCTTCTGACAAGCAAAGTCAATGGGGGAGCCAGATTCACTGAACAACCAGGTTACTAACTTATCACCTGCAGGGATTCAACTTAACACCTGTGGCAAGGAAGGTCATAAAATGGGGCAAAACCCATTTAACAAATGTCTCAACAACAGAAATGTTGGGCTCCACTGTGGTTGAGGACTACCTGTTGTAGCCCAATATATTTATTTTTACCTCACGTGCATTCTTTTCAGTCCCTAATGCCTCAGAATACAGAACATTTCCATCTTGGGGAAAACAAAACGTCACCTGTTTATGCTTCTGTCCCTCAGATGGCCATCACTGAGCCTCTTGATCACAAGAACCTGGACGAGGACGTGGATTACTTTGCCAACGTTACAAGGTAGGAGCTGGAGAAGATGAGCTGGCTCAGGAAATGGAGCGGTGGCCACCCACTGGCATCCACGGGGTGCCATCTTGGGGAATGACGGAGCTGATCTCTATGGCCAAACAGTAGCCAAAACCAACAGGAAGGACATCGAGCAACTGATAGTTAAAAGTGCTTCTCCGGAATAACTTCTGACCTCCCTTTTCTCCTCCATCCTTCTGCCCCTCCACAGCTCGACGGAGAATTTAGCCATGTACATCTGGAACAGCATGGAAAAAATCCTTCCCTCAGGTTGCCTCTACAAAGTGAAGATCTACGAGTCGGACAGGAACTTTGTTGTTTATAAGGGGAACTAAAAACCCCTCGCGAATGAAAGTTGGGGAGCACAGGTGAGAATTCCTTCCAGGGCTGTTTCTAAATCTGTTGGTGCTCTCTGAGCTTTCTTGCAGATGTTTCATTACCTGACTAAGTAGCATCATCAGTGCAAGGGAGTGTGGGGTTTGCTGCATTTATATACAGTAAATTACCCTGCCAGTTTTGGTAGGTGTTTGGTTTTCTCCTGGGTAGTTACAGTATCCTTCTGTTTGTCTGGAGTTAATCTCCGCTTATCTAGGAGTTAGTTGCTGGAGATGATGTGACCTTGTCTGTTTCTTTCTCAGCTTTTTCACTGTCTGTTTTGAATGGGGTGTAAATGTGCTTTTATCTCTATGTGTCTGTTAATGACTGATTAAGACTTTTCTGTCTGACAGTCTGGCAACCCTAAGACCCTGCCAAGATGAACTCAACTGCTGCAAGGAACTACAATAGCTGCTTTTGCTAAGGCACATCTGTACATATAGATCTCATGCTCGATGGCTGGGTGTGGAACATTTGGACCTAGCAGGCTACAAAGGATGGGACGAGGGGAAGTGAAATGTCCCTCATCTTTGTAAGGTTCTGAAATGAATCTTCTTTTAAGATGCCTGTCCCGCACATTTAATTGGGCAGTCTTATAATGCCAGGATTATTAGCATAATAGCTTGATGGGCCAGAGATTTTTTTTGCTGAGGATTATTGAATAAACAAAACTGAACACCAACCATTTAAAGGGCAATGAAGTTTATGAATTCCAAAGGAGCTGGGCAGTCAATCAATGTCAATCAGAATAGAGCTAGAAGGGACCTTGGAGGTCTTCTAATCCAACCCCTGCTCAAGCAGGAGATTCTATACCATTTCAGACAGGTGACTGTCCAGTCTCTTCTTAAAAACCTCCAGTGATGAAGCACCCACAACTTCTAAAGCCAAGTCTTTCCACTGGTTAATTGTTCTCTCTGTTAGGAAGTTTCTCCTTAATTGTTTCTCTCCTTGATTAGTTTCCATCTTTTGTTTCTTGTCTTGCCTTCTGGTGCTTTGGAAAATAAGATGACCCCTATTCTTTGTGGAAGCCCCTCAAATATTGGAATATTGCTATCATGTCAGTCCTAGTCCTTCCTTTCTCTAGACTAGGCAGGAAGGGGGGGGGACTATTGGGCCTAATGCAGATCTCTGCAGATTCACTCCCATAATGCATTGCTTAGCCACATAGCTCTGCCATTATGCACAAACAGCCATGCTCACACATACACACCCATGTCCTGCCTTCATTTCATGTTGATAACCATTGTCCAATGCTAGGGGGCTGACCAGCTCCTTCTTTGTACCATGCTAATTGAGATTTTGTTCCATCTCAGCCTAAACGGAATGAAGTGTGTGTGTGGGGGGGGTTCCCTTGTAAAGCATACACAATAAAATTATTTTACAAAGCGAATTGCTCATCTTCTCATAAAACAGCATTCTAATAATTTCCCAGTTTGCAATATGACTCATCTTCTTGGGCCAGATCCTCTTGGTGAGGGAAATTACTCCCTCAGCCCCACAAAAGCAGCTTGGGCAGAAGGACAACCACAGTTTATCGCAAGACTGGTCTGAGGCCATCCATGACAGGGGCAGGACTGGACTTCTGCATGCAATGCTGACTTGACCATTCAAAGAATCCCCATAGCTGCCAAGTGTAATAGGAGAGAATGATTCTCCGTGATGCTTTTTGAGGAAGATGTGGCAGCAAGGACACGGGTACTTGCAGTCTATGAGCTTAGACTATGCTGGCTCAGGAATTCTGGGAGTTGAAGTCCACAAGTCCTAAAAGAGCCAAGGTTCCCCACCCCTGGCTTAGACTCTCCTAAGTCTCACATTGAGATCCCACAGAGTATTGTGGAGAATATTTAGGGTCTTGTAGGACTCCCAGATCCAGCCAGACAGGCTGGGACTGGCCAACCAGCCAGACACTATGTGTAAGGACCCACCCCACTTTGCAGCTTAAGAAGACAGAACTCTTGGAATATTTCTTCCAACAGGCATCTTTATTAAGAGAAAATGGTTGCAGGTGTTCTAGACAGGACCTGGAGTCCAAGCCCTACGGTTCAAGGTTTTAAGGGGTCCCCAGCAGCCCCACCCCACCCCACCATCCTTCCAGCAACAATCCCAGCCGTTACATTTCCACCCCCTTTTTCCTCACTGCTGGTGGAAGGGAGACTTCAGAGAGGAGTAGATGAAAGCTGATGGCCCCATTGTTATGATTAGTCCTTTTGGTGGTATCCACATTCAGTCCCTTTGAAGTTGTGCTGAAGGAAGTGAGGGCCATAAAACCCCTTTGTTCACCTCCCTTCCCCAGAGAGGGCAGAAATGGGGTTTTCCATAGTCGATAACTAGAGATGAAATATAATTGGATTCTGACATCATGGCAGTAGACAAGGGCCAGAAGAGAGCGGTGGTGATAGATGTAGTGGTGCCAACTGACAGCAACATAAGGAAGGAGGAGGATGAGAAGCTGGAGAAGTACCACAGCCTGAAGGAGGAACTAGAGAGGATGTTGAAAGAAAAAGCCAAAACGGTCCCAATGATAACAGCAGCACTTGGGGCTAAAAGTCCTAAGTTAATGTTTTAACGCATAAAACAGAATGTTTCACAATGGAGCAATACATGCACAATAATGATAATCCTCCCAGCCATATTGGCTAATGGAATGAAGGGTGTTGAGGAAGATTAACCTAAAATCCAGACTGTCACCTGCAGCTATTACTCCTGCTTTCTTTATAAGAAAACCATTCAAAATTCAGTTGCAAATACAGCATTTAATGACAGCTGACCACAGGAAATTAAATCTCAGTGGGAATCACCTTCATCCATAATGTTTATGCAACACTTAAGTAGGCAGAGTTTACATATTCAATAATACTGTAAGGCTGCGTGAGGCTTCAGACGTGGGTCGTGTCAGGTCGACGGTGACTCACTGCATCCCCTTCCTCCCCAAATTAATCAGACCTGGCTAGTACATTGATGAGAGACTGCCAGGAAATCCCAGGATTGTTGGCTAAATTAGAAGTAAAAATAAAAAAACATCCAGAAGGCAAGGGCAGATATCTTTGTACTGTTTCCAAAAAAAAAATCACATGAGATATATCTACGCAGTTGAGAATGTCCTTTTAAAAAATGCGGTAAAATTACTGCCACACAAGCAGACCAGCCCAAGATGAAACTGAGAAAAGACTTGCTGAGGGATGTTTACTGAGTTTGTGGGAGAACCCAGAGCTGGAGCTTTCTAGCTAACATTCTTGCATAAAACATGACCCTGGTGTTGGGAAAGATGGTGGAAGGCAAAAAGAGAAGGGGACGACAGAGCATGAAATGGGTAGATAATGTCATTGACACAATGAACATGAATTTGGGCAAATTCCAGGAGCAGTGGAGCGGGGGGAGGGGGGCATGCTGTGGTCCCTGGGGTCACAAAGAGTCGGACACGACTTAGCAACTGAACAACCATAACTTGCATAAAAGAGTACGGGAATGAGCTTAATTATAGCAATTGGCTTAATTATGCAGTAAATTCACTGCAGTAGTTCGGGAAAGGAAAATAAGCTGTTTGGGACCAGGAAAACTCCCTACTGTATTCAAATAAGCCCTGGGATTTACACTTATCATCATGGAAAAAGCAGTGACTTTCTCTTGAAACAGGAACAAACAGTAATGAACAAAGAATTGCTATCTTTCTTACTTGGATCAAACTAAATGCTTGCACAGCAGGAAAGTTTGACACCACCAAGTTGCATAACACATCTGCTTCATATCTACTCACTGACATGATTCTTTAACAAAGAGGTCAGCATCTACATTTACAAGTGCAATAATGCATTGGTGGATGGATGGATGGTTGACAGACTGACTGACTGACTGACTGAGTTGTTCTCTGACAATTAACGGCACAGACGGCACAATCACAAGTATCTCACTTCTTGGAAGCAGCTCCCTCTCCCTTGTAAACCACAATGTTCTTCTCAGTTTCATATACTTTGACTTTATAAAGGGTCCCAGTAGGAAGGCACTTCTGAAGATTGTCCCAAATGAACACAGCAACATTTTCAGTAGTACTGGGGGGAAAAAACCTGAGAATTAGTTATGCTGCTTTGCTAGTGATATTTTTATCTCCTGCTCTGTGGCTGCACCAGAGGGAAAACCTGCTTCTGCTATGGTGTTTCCTTTCACAGATTCCTGCACAGTGACAGTTGTTGAGGTTGCTTGTTTGTGTTGGCCTGGAATTCTAAGTTCCAGCCATAAAAGTACTTAAAGACTATCAGGTTGGGATTGTCTGGACCAGTAGAACGAAACACAGTCAGTCTTGATTCCTCCAACAGTCCAGAACACTGATTTTGAAAAACCAAGTTTCTAGACCTCTTTGACACTGGCAAATCTCCTGAGCAAGCAGGCAGTCCTTCCAGGAAAAAAATTAGAGCAATCCTTTACAAGTTTTTTCCTCCTGCTGTAACATTAAATTTCCCTGAATAATTTAGGCAATTCAGAGTCCTGTAAGAAAAAAAAACTCAAAAGCACTCTCCAGGTTCAGGATTAGAAAACAGGCCTGCACAGGGCCCAGAATAGAGAGTCACCCTACCTGACAACATCTGCAAAGTAGGGGACGTCTTTATCCAGATTCTTGTGATCAAGAGGTTCCATTATGGCTTCCTATAAGGCAGAGATATTAGGCATTTAGTCCCATAAAAGACACTCCGAAATTAATCAGACTCGTTGGGAGACTGCCTCACACGGCTAAGTGGCAGATAAATATTCAATGGCATCAGTCAAGAGCTCCACCGCCATTTTTGTAAAGAAATGAAATAAACCTGTTGTCTTCTCTTTAATGTTTTCTACTTGGGGTAAAAATTCATCCTCTCCACCCACCAGTGAGATCTTAGGAGACAAGAAAATGGTCTATCCCCTGCTTTCACTTGGAAGGCTACAGCATTCCCTTGCCTCTTATCCTCTACCCACACGTAGGAAGAAGCTAAAGTTATAAAACTGCACTCAGCACTTCCTGGTGTGCCTCGAGTCCCACAGTGGATCCCAGACTGCCTTGTCACGGCCTATGAAGTCCATGGCTCATCTCTGCTGGCAACCTCTGGGATGAAAAGAGCTTCTTTACCTCCATGTAGGCATTGAGATCCGTAAGGTTGATCACCATCCCTGTAAGAGGATTGATCTAGAAAGGAAATACAAAGAGTGGGTATAATAGATATAATTTGTAATATTTATGTTGTAATTTCTAAAACCTTTTTGCTGTTTAATAGAGGAAAGATAAGTGTCTAGAGATGGAAACTGGAATGAGATATGAAATAAAGAGATTGTTGGCTGTATTTTAAAAGCTAATGTTAAGTTGTTAATATTAATTATACTTGCTGGAGGCAAAGGGGCTGATTTGGTTTTCTATTTGTTTTCTTATTCTGCACTTTAATTAAAAAAATTAAAATGTATTTCTTTATTCTATAAACATATATCTTTTACTTGTACAATACAATCTTTAATAAACTTATTGGGAAAAATAGAAAGAAAATACAAATGTTTAGAATCTGAAAACATTTTACTTACCTCTCCTTGCACAGTTACTTCCACTAGAAGAAATGAAAAGGAGCAAGAAGGGAAGATCAGATTGTGATGTTGATTGCACTTAAGATAATCAGCAAAGGAGATAAATATATTAACAATACACCACATGGATAACTTCCGCCAGGAGTTTAAGAAAGCTTCCTGCTTTCCATTATATTTCATCATCATTAATACAAATCTGAAAACGAATACAGGAAGTCCTTGCTTCCTGATGGTAATTGGGACCTGGAACTCCACAGCTAAGTGACACAGTTTTAGTGTGTCCCATGACTGTGCCGAGTTATGCAGCAGTTGCAGCACTCTTGTTTGCCACTGTTAGGTGGAATCCCACACAGACACATCATCCTGCGGTTACATGATCAACATTTGCAACCTATGCCGGCTTCCCCATTGACTTTGCTTGTCGGAAGTTGGCACTGAATGTTGCAGATCACAATCATGTGAATGCAGGGCGCTGCAACATCTTAATTGCAAACTGTTCGCTAAGCACGTAAACTGCAATCATACGACCACAAGGATGTTGCAATGTCTGCAACTACAAAGATCAGTCGTAAGTCTACAGGGCCCAGTCTAAGTTGGTTACTGGGACCAAAGGTTTAGTCTTCCAAGCTTTTGGGCTCATGATGGAGCCCACTATCAGGGAACTTCTCTCTCTTCAGAATATCTCCTTTTTACCACTATGGTAATTTCGAATGGTCATTGAATCAGTGGTCATTCAACTAGCTAGCCAACGTAACAAAATTGTTCAGGTAACACTTTTACTTGGAATTAATTGGTAATGCTTGTACGTAACCCTATGCAGTTCGTAACCGACAGTGTTTTGAAAACAATTTATGCTATATAGTGGCTTCTGCAAGTGTGCAAAATGAATAATTGCACACACTCATGCACACATCAAGTCTGTCCCAGGAGTGTAATTTTCACAGGTTGAAGGTCCCTGGACAGGTGAGCTTTCATCCCAAAGGCTCATCGCTGTGGATGATGGGGCATCAGGTTCCCTTCCTCCTCTCGGCTTCTCCTGGTTTCAGAGACGGAAGCCATCCCTTCTCACCTTTATAGTTGTGGCCGTGGCCATTGGGGTTGTTACATTTTCCAAAAAGCTTCCAGTTTTCTTCATCGCTCAGCGACTGGCTGCAGAGAAGGCAGAAGAGGAGATTCTTCTTAAAATTGTCGTCTTAACAATAAAGGCAGCGCTAGGAGTCGCGTTGGGTGCAACTGCCTGAAGCACCTTGAAAGAGGGTGGACACCCTCCCTGGCATCCCTGGCCAGCCCGCCAGTCTTCGCCAATAGACCGGCTGGGCTTCATCAGCCGGAACCCCCAACCCAGAGGCCCAACAGAGGGGCCCAAAGCAAGCCAGGAGGGTGGAGAGGAAGCCGGGCTGGCTACGCAGAGGCAGGACCAGATCCCTGCCACAAGGAGATCCTAAGGCAGGAGAAGGAGGGATCTCCTGAATGGGGGAGCTACAAATCAGGGGGGCAGCCTGCCTCTTGGAGGGGGGCATTCCTGGGAGTGGGGAGGGGGGTCCAGCCCCAGGTGGGCCAACCCTTGTCCTGGAATGCTCATAGGGACCCTGTCCCGGCAGGGGGATACACTAGATAACCTCCAAGGCCCCTTCCAACCTTCAGATTCTGTAAAGAAACCTGGACAGGGGTAGCACTGCGTCCCGGCCCCTTCCAGCCTCCTCCCCCCTTACCGTTGGGGCTGCGGGGGTCTGGGAGGGTGGGGGGTGTAGGGGGTCCGGCGCCTGGTGGGCAGCGCCGCTCCTGCCTTTAAAGGGTTCAAAGGGCTGCGCTGAGTTGCCTGGGGGGGCGCCTAATTCTTCAAAGACATGCCTAAAAACAGCCCCCCACACACACTTCGGGGGGCACCGTGCCCGTTTTGCTATCTGCGCCCCCCCACACACACACACATATACACACCCCAGAGGCGGCGGCGGGAGCGCCCTTTCTCCTCCGGCCGGAGGCGCCCGGTGCTCTGCACGCGCCCAGGACCCCTTCCTTCCTGCCCGCCCCCCAGCCACCGCCCCCCCGTCACCTGTGCAGCCGGTGGGAGGCGCTGAAGGTCGCGCGGCGCGAGACCCGGGCCCAGCGGGCGGGCAGCAGCGCCATGGCAACGGCTCCGCTCGGGTGCCACCGCGCGTGCGCGGGAGCGAGCGAGCGAGAGAGATGCCCCGGAGCCTCGGCCCCGCCCCTCTGCCCGGGCTTGGGAAAGGGCGGGGCCGAGCACGTGGCGGCGGGTGCCCGGGCGCTGGCACTAGCCGGGAGAGGGGGAGGGGGGGAGAAGCCGCTGCAAAAGGTGGCCGTGCAGCAGGCGTGGTTGCCCCGTCCCTGGGGAGTTGCAGCGAGCCTTTAGGCCACCCGCAGGACCTCTCCAACTTTGGGCAGAGACCCACTGCCAAAGGGGCCGGACCGTTGGCCAAGCTCGAGCTGGCAGGCGTTACCAGGCATTCGGCCAAAGGATGCCCTCTCGCCCTGGCCTTAAAAGTGAAATACTGCCCGGGGTTTTGAATAGGGCATCTAAGTGAGCTTCCCTGCAAAGCCCCGCTGGCAAGTTAACAGGCAGGGCATGAACTGACTAGACTTTAATCAGTTTACAAGCTGGAGGCTTTGGACCCCTTACTGTCCCTCGCACCTTCCTCCTGCTGGACACCTCTTTGCTCCCTTGGGGATTCCTTCCTCTGTCAATTAGTGTAAATGCAAACACAAAATTAGTGTAAATGCAAACACAACACTGGGATAAGATGAAATTGCCCTGGGAAGTCTGACTCTGGGCCACGTTTTTTGTTCTTTTAATGTTATTAATGGGTTTTTAATAGGGCTTTGTGTGCTGTGTTCATTTTCAATTGGGAGCCGCCCAGAGTTCAGAATTCTAGGATCCAGTTCTAGGAGTTGAGGACAACACATGGTCAGCTTGCCAAGGTGGAGAAATATTGCCCTGGATAGTTGAACGGATATTCCCATCAGGAAGTCTTCTGTTACACTTAAATGAAAACTTGGCAGCTGCAATTTACCCCAGTTGGTTCTGCTCCTATTTTATGCGGCCATGAAAAACAATTCCTGACCTCCTTCACGGGGTCTGGAATTCTCATGGTCTCTCCCCCTAGTCTCCAGACTGAACATCTCAAGGGCCTTAGGAACCCTGAAGACCCCACCCCGTCCCTCTTCTCATCTGCTGGTGAACTGGGAAACTCGCCCTGGGAACTGGATCCTGCTGCTAGCTGCCCCACTTGATTGGAAAGCTTCAAATATGCCCCGGAGTCTCTAACCTTGGCAACTTATGGACTTCAACTCCCATACTGACTGAGGAATTCTGGGAGTTGAAGTTCACAATTGTAAAGTTGCCAAGGTTGGAGACCTCTGCCATAGATGGTCCTCAACCTTCCTTAATCCAGACTTTCCGAGACCTTCGATTGCCTCCTCCTCAAGCTTCTCACAAGGTCAGAAAGATCTTGGCCCAAGAAATGCCCTCCTTCCCAGAGTATCTCAACCTCTGAAGCGCTAATCAGTTTAAGACTGAATTCTTGGCCTGTGCCAGAACACTCTTGGCACCGGAGAAGATTTTCTGCACAGAAGAGTGTTTGTTTCTAAACCCTCGTTGGATGGATGCAGTGGCTGGGGGAGGAAGAGAATTGTAGGGCAAATTGCATTTAATTGAGCCGCGTTCTCAGGAATCAAGCTTAATTATCAATCAGAACATGTTTAGAACTTCCTGAGGTCCTCATTGTTCCTTTATGATTCATTTATATTCTGCCCTCAAGGCCGTTTCTCATCAGAGGATTTGATGCTGTTGAGCAACCTGAATGATCACCACTTGTGCTTCCCATGTGCTGGTTGGCAACTACTTCCCAACCCTTGATTTAAATAATAATAATAATAATAATAATAATAATAATAATAATAATAATAATAATAATAATAATAATAATAATAATAATAATAATAATAATAGTTGTTGTTATTGTTATTATTAATTGGAAGGGACCTTGGAGGTCATTTAGTCCAATCCCCCGCTCAGGCAGGAAACCCTATACCATTTCAGACAAATGGTGGTCCAATCTCTTCTTTAAAACTTCCAATGTTAGAGCATTCACTGCTTCTGGAGGCAGGTTGTTCCACTGGTTAATTGTTCTAACTGTCAGGAAGTTTCTCCTTAGTTCTAGGTTAGAGAAATGTCTTGCCTTGCTTCTGTTGCCTTTGCCATTGGTAGTTGTGAGTGGGACTGTCTATTGCATATCCTGAGCCTGGTCCTGGTTAAAAGAATAAGCTGTTTTCGTATATCTCAGAAGCTTGGGCAGGTAAGGGAGAAGGTGCTTATTTATGACACCTCCTGGGGGGAAAAGAATTGGGATTGTCGGTTGGACTTAGGTCATCAAGTTCTTTGTAGCCTACATCAGAAGCCCTGCCTATCTATGATGGGCAGACCAGGGAAGCCTTGACAAGTGGAGGTCCACTGCATGCTGATAGGGTCTCTCTGCCCTTAGATGGACAGCCTAAAAGTGGGGACTGAAAAAAGTGGGGCTTCTCCAAAAATGAAGAACAGCCCCTCTCACAGAGAGGTGGGTTCAAGGTGGGACCTCAAGGGTGAGTTGGCTACAGCTTGAATTGAGTCTAGGGTTAATGAGCTGAGATGCCCCACGTACAAAGAAAAAATATATCTGATACGATTGCCAACGTTGCTCAACAGTGTCTGAAGGGCTCTGAGCCAGGTTTATACAAAGTTCAAGCCTGATAGGCCACAAGGACCAAGAATGGCATGTGGAATTACTCAAGAGTGATTTGAGTATTTTATTATTCTTCACTTATCGATAGACTCTTGCCAGACTAAGAGTCTGCAGACAAACTCTGGAAATCGCTAAGGAGGGGCCGTTTAACCCTCTACCAAACTTTCCAAGCTCCGCTGCCTCTTTGCCCTCTGGGATGCAGTCTCTCTCTCCTGGGAATCCAGACTACATTCCACCACCAATTAAGATAATTAATAGAAAAATTAAGGACATAGGCAAAGAATTTATACTGTGTTTATACTGTGAATCAAAGTAGAGCATGATTGGGTAGCCTAGGAATTTAAAGCACATTTAGAGGAAGTAATTTGTCCACAGCATTTTGGGCATCCTGGAGCAGATCCCGAATCACCCGTCTTAGCGGGTGGCATTTTTGTTGGGAACAAAGGCACCATGGAAACCGTAAGGAATCTGGACAGGGATTTCAGTGCGGCCCAGCTCGGCAAAATTTTCCGCATCCAGAACAAGAAGGAAGCTACCTTCATTCTGAAATAAAGAGAAATAATGGATAACAGTTCTTCAGTGCTGCCTCCCCATGCAAAGCATCTATTTTCTCTGCTCTTGTAGGGATCTGAAGAAGAAAAGTAAACCATAAAGATACAGAGGAGTTCCAGAAAGACCTACTAGCATTTTGAAGCCCCAAATGCCTGCAGCTTTCAGTAGAAAGCATAAGAAATTCATTTTCAGAAATCTGAAAGGAATATTCAAAGTAGGTCTTGACCTCTGCAGTGAGGCCTAACTTACCTGCTTGGGTGTGAGCACCACCGAGAGGATCACTCCCTTGTCTTCTGCTGAAGAACCAGGTTCTGGCACAAATATGGGCTCTGAAGGATACATCCCTTTCTCGCGCCAGATCTGGTGGGCAAAGCAAAGGGTACAGAAGAGGTTTCTTCTCGTGAGCTTTCGAGGTGGAACTCCATCCCCACCACACAGTGATGGGATTCAGCCAGTTTGCACCACTTCAGCAGAACCGGTACATAATTTTTTGTTGCCCAGGCCCAAAATGCACTTCCGGAAGTGGCATCCACACAGATTTGAATCCCACCACTACCACCACACCAGTAACAACAGAAGAACATCACTTGCCCCCATCTTCTCACCTTCATCTCCTTGGTTTCTGTATCAACCTTGACCAAGGAGTCTCCAACGAGATGACCAAAGCTGCAGCCATAGAAATAACGATATTTTTTCCCACAGTAATGTGCATAATTGATCTGAGGGAATTCCACTCCTCCTGCTTCTTTGAGGTCCTCATTGTGTAGACTTTCAGGTGTGCACCAGATCTAGACGAGTCAACACGGAACCAATCACATTGGTTATCTATCTACTATTTGGACTTGCTGAGTTCCTCCAGGAACTTTCCTGCCATTCAATGCTTTTATGTTTTGAGGCCCTGCCACTTGAAGAGCACAGGTGGTCCTCAGCTTACAGCCACATTTGGGACCAGAATTTCCACTGTTAAGCAAAGTGGTTGTTAAGTGAGTCCTGCTTCCCATATTGACCTTGCTTGTCGGAAACTAGCTGGGAAGGTTACAAAGGACCCTGAGATGCTACAATCATTGTAAAGCATCCAAACTTTGATCACGTGACTATGAGGATTGCTGCAATGGTCATAATAGCAAGGAGGGGAGTCTCTTGGAGGCAAGCAAGTTTACCCTGAGCAGGGAGGCAGTGATCGATTTCCAAATTCCAGATGTCGGTTCTTAACTTTCTCATGAGTTTGAAATGAGCTCTACCTCAACACAAGGCTCTTCCTTTTTAAACATCCCAGATCTGGGGTCTCTCCTTCAACCCATGATACCTTCGATCCAAGTTCTCCATAGCTTAATTTTCTTTGGTAGTTAGTCTTTGAAAAAATGATCCCATTTATGTAACTCCTGCTATTTTTCCCAAGTCTAGCTGCTGTTTGCAGGATGGTGAGATTTCCAAAGGATGACAAGAAAAATTGAATGCTTTCATTCTTTCTAAATTACACACACACACACACACACACACACACACACAGATGCATGCATAAATTATCTACCTTCCCATCCTCCTCCTTCACAGCTTCTGCCAACGTGTAGGACAAAGGGTTAAGATTCTGCCCCACAGATGCCTTGGAGCTCACAGTGATGGGAAGAACAAAGCGCCGTGGAAATGGCTTCGGGAGTATGTTGTAGGTCTGCCGAGACAATAAAAAGAAGTCATTGCACAGAGAAACAAATCCACACTCTGTGATCACGCCACAAGGATGAAGAGCAGGACGACCAAGAGTCAAGAGAACGTCTCCACCTCCTGTTTGCCTGGGTTCCTTCCCCTCAGAATTCCTCCCTTGTCTGGGACTGGAGCACCATGCTCCAACACCCCTGGGAGATACCAAACTAGACTACAGTATGAAGCTCCCTTTCAGTGCCCACAGCATGGAGGGCAGAGCAGCAGTACCTGGTCAAGGGCTTCCCCAGCCTTGTGGAGGTTCTGCAGTCGGTAAATGTCAAAAACTTTCCCATCATCGAAACAGCAGAGATCCAGGACGATGCAGCCCTGGTCCTCAAAGGCGTTGATATTATGGAAATAGCAGAAGGCCTTGCTATGATATTGCAAGGGTAAGGTCTGCAACAAGAGGGAAAGACATGAGGGTGAATTCCTGCCCTTCGATGACACCCAAAAAATTGGTCCTGGGCACAATTTCTTAAAAATCTTCGCTTATATATCAGGGTGATGCTTGAAAGGATTTTAATGGGCAAATCAAAGAAGTTTAGAAGTGATCTTTCCCGGTGTAATCTTTCTTAATCTGATGTTCTCCAAAGATCTCTGGACCTCAACTCTCCCACCATTCTCAGCCACTCTGGCCAATACCATAGAGGAATTCTGGGAGCTGCCACCCCAAAATAATCTGGGAAAAACTTTGTTTTGCTTATGGATACCTTCCACCAGCCAGGATGAGAAGAGCAACAGTCTCATCTGCCTGCTCCTGCAGAGCCCAGAGAAGACATACCAGGAAGTCACCAGATCCAGCCAAACCGCTGACTCACCTGCCCCGTGTGCTTGTTCACGACATAAAAGCGGGTGTTTAGCTGAGGCTCCCAACTCAGTCCATCCAGAAGGGATTTCCCCCAAAATTTGGCTGTAACGATTTCCCACAACTTTATCTGGACGGGCTGCTCAATAAAAATCACATAGTTTTCACTCATTCCTAGAAACAGAAGAAAAAAAGAGTTGGGCCGCTTTTTTTCATGAAGAGCCGATTCCATTCTTCCATCTAATTACCTGGACTTTTCCAACAACAGGGTTGCCTTATCTTTCCACCTGCCGGCGTCCTCCTTTGTGCCAAAACAATTTCAGATTATGCAATGTAATGGCCAGTAATTTCAAATCATCCCATTTAACACTCTGTGAATCAAATGTAATGCCTGAGGGTGCTGCTACACCACCTACTTAGGAATTGGCATGTTTCCTTTTTATCAACAATTTTTTTAAAAAAAGGAATTGCCATGCTTCGTTTACGCAATCCCCCTTCCAGCTTCCAATGGAAGGCCAGTGATTGGATACAGCTAGGAGCCAACAACTTTTGTTCAACTTCCTAGTTTTACTGATGTTGTTTTTAAAGCATCTCTCAGGGCATGATTTCAATTTCAATTTATTATAGCTACCAGCTAGCAAAGGATGTTACATTGTTTTGTATGAACTGCTCTGCTGGATCATTTGTGGCTTGGAGCAATGAATTTCATTAATTTAATCTTTCATATTACATTTCCTGTTCTACTTGATTTTATTCAGGCAGTGTGATAGATCACACCAGCAGCATCCCAAATTATTGGCCCACTTTTCATCATTCCACTTTTACAACTCCAGCTGCTTCTTTCTGGCATCTCCAATAAAGATGGCAATGGCCTACTTAAAAGGAGGATGGTCCTCTCACCAAAACTGTGATAATAGGCTGGTTTCATTCTGTCCTCTGGTTCAATGGTACACAGCACTTCTGCACCTTGCAGGCTGGAGTCACTAAGCTGAGCCTTCTGGGGAGGAACACGGATGATGTTATAGTTGAAGCCTGTAAGAGAGAAAGACCAGCTCTTTGGATCTGTGATTCCAGCTAATCAGCTGCAGATGGATTGTGGAATTGGCTCACCTCGACTGCTGTGCCTTGTGCTATAAACAATACTTCCTATGAACAATAATTGAATTTGGAAATGAGATATGGGCAGCACCCATTAAAAGTTTGGAAGGGGAGACAGCCAAGATGATGCATTCTAGGAGAAATCCACAGCCACTTCATCTTCACTCCAGTGTAAAATTCAGACTTAAAACATCATACATTTTCCAGGTCCTCTGATCCAGTCAAAAGGGCTGTAGCATCTAACTAAAAACCTATGCACCTACGCATTGAAAAAATACTTGTCATCTTTGAATTGACTGAGATTTTTTGATGTGTCTGTTAAGCAACTGTCAGTTTGGAGTAAAAAGCCAAGAAGGCCTGGGTTGGGAGAAATGGAGGCAGTACTCACCAATGAAGTCAAAGCCACACATTGAGATGAGTATTGAATTCCAGACGTTAAAATGCTAGTCTGTTTGTCTCTGAATCTGGTCTTACCGTGCGTCCCATAAGAGTTGCCCATGTTGTAGACTGTTCCATCTGGATCATAGTGTGGGTGGGCTGTGGCTCCATTCACTGCAACGTATTTTTTCCAGTTCATCTGCAAGGACAAAGATAGCAAGTCATCTTACTTCAGGTGGACACCTTCCAGATAGAACTGAAGCCCTCAGAATTCCCACACCAGCTGAGAGGTGTCATCGCCACATCTGAGACAGAGCCAGGGTGGGGGAAGCTGATCTCAACAACTCATTGTAAAACATTATGGTCCTATTTCTGAATCTAAAAGCTGTTTTGTGGGGTGGGCATGACTAGTAGATCTTCTGTAGAAGATCCCGATTGAATCTGCAGCATCTCCAGAGCTCCTGAAAAACTATCTGTCAATCCAGATTTAAATAGTAGTGGATGAGATGGCGAGATAGGCTAACCTAACCCAATGCCAGGTAGCCTGCTCCGTTCCTTTACCTTCTCCTTTGATTCAAGCGTGTCCAGATCCACTCTGTGCATTTGACTGGTCTCCGTGCTGACAAAATAGTCACCTTTAATGACCGCAAAATTCACAACGCAGTTGTCGGTCTCTTCTGCAATATAAAATTCACCTCATTGGAGTGTCATAAATTCAGTACAGAAAATATTTCCATTGTCACCAAGTTGCCAGGATCAAAAAACTGAAAGTGTAGGAGAAGGAGTAGCCAAAATGGGGGTGGAGTCCAAAGAGGAACCAGCTAGAGACTTTACATAGTCACAAATGATCTTAGTCTGTTCTGCCACTCTTCTCCTACAGAAAATGGCATAATGCCTTAAAGTTGATTTCTGATTCAAAGTTAAATGTGCCAAGGACAGAGTTGGAAGACAAACTGAATGTCACCTCCAGCTTTGTCCAGAGGTTTTCTTACCCTCTGCCTCCCCATTTTTTACAAGAGAAATTTGGTGGACTGCCTTTCAGCATTTCCTTACTGAAACTTCAGATGCAGAATATGAGCGAAACTGATCCAAGAAAGATACCTACTTGAGAAGTCAAACTTTGACATGAAGCGGTCAAAAACGTTCTTGCAAGGATCTGGTATGGCCCAGGTGCCAAATTCAGACATCATGATTCGGTTGTTCTTGCTGTTGGTCAGGTAAGAATCACTCCGGAGAAACTTGCTGCTGTACTTCACCACCCCATCCTCAATTTCAAACTTATGCATAAGTGCCATGCCATCAAACCAGTGGTTAAACCTTCATTTGGAGAAGAAAAATCCAGATTAAAGGAGGAGAAAGTTTTGTGCAAAGATTATCCTACATATTCCAAGCATCCACTCAGTTTCTTAGATGACCAGAAAATTCCCATTTCAGTATACAGCTGCACACAAAGTTTACAGCAAATTTTAAAGACTGTAATTCTTGCTAAGGTATTATTTCTAAATTGTTAAAACATATTTCTAAAGAAGACACACACCCCTTAAAAAATTATCACTAATTCAGCTTTCTCCCAGTCCTCTGTTGTCATTATATCTCCCTTAAATCAAAAAAATCCGTATTATCACTCAGGGATTCTTCCTAAGACAAAAATGATTGGTAGAATTATTGAAGAACATGAATGGAGAAGGTTGATCAAGACTGCAGACCAGAACAAAATTATCTGCTGGCTTTTTAATCCTTAGCAGAGCAGACAGCAGCATCCATAGCAATAGAAAAAGGCGTACTTATCTGGTCCAAATTCATATTTTCCTGGCCCGTTCCTCACTAGCTTTCCTTTCAGCCATTTGGGAATCTGCCCTTGAAGTTTTATTGGGATTGCTTGAGGTGTTTCTTCTACGGTGGAGAATAATGGCGAGATGCATTCTAAGCCCTTCTTGTGGCTATAAGTAACTGGAACCTTCTGCTTGGACACCAGATTTCTTATCCCTGCAGAGACAAACCAAGCAATTAGCAAAGAGAAAGGGGTTAATATCCTGGGTGCAATCCTGAAGTTACCGCTTCATATTATGCACACAGGTCAACTGCATGTTTAGGAATCAGCTAAGTAAGGGGGGAAAAGGATGCTTCTGATCAAGGTTATTGAGATAGATTTCCCTGAAATATTTTCAAATTCTCAGTTTGCAGATTGAACATGCCTTGAAGAACAGATTTGGGGTTAGGTTAAACTATACTGCAACTGAAAAAAGCAAATATGTCTCAAAACTAGAAAACTAAACTTCCTATGTATTAATTGAAGCATGCCACAGTATAAGGGGAAAACTGAAATAAAGGAAACAGGGCAGTTCATGTGTTAGCAATGCTGATTGAGATTATGCATTGGGTATCCAGTAATGTATCAGAAGGCACACATGCATGCACTGGAAATGGTACATTGTGCTCCATCATCTCGCCATGAGGGCTTCTGTCCACTACCCTACTGCACACACACACACACACACACACACCACACACATGAGAAATCCCTTCCTGTCCTTTTGGGTCCACAAAGGGGTTTGTGGTCATTCTTTTTCCTGAGGGGGTTGACCAGAGAGGAAAGAGAGAGGTTTGGGGATCCAAATACGCAAGGAGTTCAAATGATAAGTCTCTGCCAAAGGCTGAAATTTAAATTAAAAATCAAGCCACCATTGTTTAATACTGCTTTTTGAGTCACTACCATGATGAAATATCTCTTCTCCCATTAAAATAATTATTATTCATAATAATAATAGTACAGCCTGGCTCTCACACGTTGTCATTGAAATAGGGCAGGTCAGTGCAATCGATGAGGTTAATGATCACACAGGGCTATACAACCTGTCCTGGCCCAACCAGGGTCCTGCCCGTTTTTGACCACTTCAGAGCTCTCTCCCTTTCAGCCAAGCGTCCGAGGGAGCCTCCCAGGTAATTCCGCCACATCCCTCCCTCCCTCTCTGGTCTGATGCAACGGACCGTTTAGAAACGAATGTGAGGAAACTGTGGGGTCCCTCTGGGGACCAGCTCTGCACACAGAAAAGGGACTCATTCCCCAAACTGTTGTAATAATTCTCAATGCCTGCCAAGCTTTGCCTTCTCTGCCATTTCTGGATGGCAGTACAGGTATTCCTCAATTTACAAGAGTTCATTTAGTGGCGGTTCGAAAGCATAACAGCACTGGAAAGAGGGACTCGGGACCATTTGTCACACTGACACAGCATCCGATGGTGTCACGTGACCAAAATTCAAGCCCTTGGCAACCGGCTCCCATTTATGACGGTTGCCGTGTCCCAGGGGTCACGTCATCCCCTTTTGCGACCTTCTGACAAGCAAAGTCAATGGAGAAGCCAGAGTCACTTAATAACCACATTACTAACAATGACCGCAACCGCAATGATTCGCTTAACAACTGTGGAAAGAAGAGTTATAAAACAGGTCAAAATTCACTTAGCAACTGTCTCACTTAGCAACAGAAATTTTGGACTCAGTTGTGCTCGTATGTCGAGGACTACCTGTAAAGATCTTGTCCGCACCGTGTGTCTATGCAGATTCTAACTGAGGTCTGCTTGGATGACTCTCATAACTATGGACCTTTGGTAGTGGGACAACTAGGAGCCTTCTCAAGCCTTCTTGTGCTCATTCCAATAGGGAATTCATCATAGACACGCTTGGCTGAATACATACATGTACTCCATCCTGATAGAGTGCCACATATGCTCGTATTTGTCTCCTGGGAAAAGCAGATGAAATATTCAGCTGAGTGTTTCATATTTTGGGCAATTTCCTCAGTGCAAAATCTATCATTCTTGCATAGCAGTCTGGCTGTGGAGACAACATTCCTGCTTTACATCTCCTTTTTTTGACTGATGCTGAAGAAAATTAATCCCAAGACTGTCAAACCAATTGGGAAGTGAAAAAATAAAAACCCAGCCAGAGGGAAAGAATGTTGATTACTTGCCTGTTGTTCCCAAGATTGCATGAATCATCACAATTCAAAATCATTATGTCTTTAGCCTGTAATCCTCAATACCTGCTTCCTAAAAGGAGGAACCCCAAAGAGATCTCTGTGGATCTCTCTGAATCTTACATGGCTTGCAGGGGTAGTCAACCTTGGCTCTTTTATGACTCGTGGACTTCAACTCCCAGAATTCCTGAGCCAGCTGTGCTGGCTCAGGAATTCTGGGAGTTGAAGTCCACGAGTCATAAAAGAGCCAAGGTTGACTACCCCTGGCTTAGAGCTTCTTCTTTTTTAACTGCCATTAGCAGAAGATTGGAAGAAAAACGGTCTTACCTGGGATATATTGGAGCAAAGACACAAGAGCGAGAATCACCTTCTGAAGCAGGAAGCCAGTGAAAGAAACGAGGAGGAAAAGCATTTTCACAATGCTGAGCTGGGAGAAAAAAGCAAGCTGCAAATAGCCAGAGACTGCAAGTCAGAGAGCCAAAAAGCTGCTCTTTGACACAAGAGGCGCAGGGCAGTGATGGAATATCTGTGGGCTTAGTGCAATGTTTCACAACAAACTCTGCCTCCCCCTTTCAGGACTGAACGAGGAGACAAGGCGGCATAAAACTGGCAGAAACAGGAGAGCACACACCTCTTGTGTCAAGCTTGGACAAATCACTTTTCAGGGGAGGAGAAACAGAATTATAGTAGATCTAAATTGCATGACTTCACATGATTAAGACACTATCTCTGTTTGCCTCATAGTTCATCATGTTTTATTGAATTAATATATATCCATTAACCATTCAGGCTGGGTGTGTCCGGGCACTAAAGTGCAGTCGGCTAGTTGGAGCTTTGATGTAACTTTAACAAATTCACAGTGTAACTGGCTCAGTCAGTGGGGGTGAGAGTTCTTGAAGAACGCCACCCACCTGCTATTTTTGTCTACTATCCTAAGCCAAGGAACATCTCTTTCCAGCCAGGAAAATCAAAGCCCTTCTTACAGTAGTTTGCTTCTGAAGTGGGCAACACATTCCTCCAGGCAAGCAGAGCATGTAAAAACAATGCCTGGAGGAGAAAAATGTTGTTTTGAGGTCTGCCAGGTTGCAGTCTCCATCTCCTCTTGCCCAAGGCTTATTCTCTGCTAGTGGTTTAGACCAAGTTCAACAGCTTAGTTAGCTAGTTAGTCCTTCTTGCCCACATTCTTTTTTTTATTCTTTCTAAACTTTCCCTCAACCTTCTCTGTTCTTCTCCATGTTTTATTACAGCCAAACCTTGGTATTGCCACAGGAGGGACATTAATCAACTAAGGGCAAAAGTTGTTCTGCTAGATTTATACTCTGCCTTTTCTTCAGAAGATCAAGGCAGCATACATATTACCAAGTTAAAAGCGTCATATCTTAAGGACTCTGTCCTTCAGCCGTTTTCTTGTCTGCTGTAGCTGCTAAATATTGGTAATTAAATTTGTTTCAGTCAGTCTTCTTTGTGCACAGGCTCTAGGGTGAAAGATCTACATCCTGTGCACACATAAACAGTATCTCTATGATTTTGTATTGTTCCTATCTTGCTGCAGGTCCAAAGAAATAATGCTTCAATTATTCTGGTACAATCCTAAAAGTACCCTACCTCCTTCAAACTTAACCATTTTCCTACAAGCAGAAGTATGAGCAGAGTATGTATGGGTGAGAACCAGGCAAATATTAAGCAATGCTTTGGAAGACATGTTTATATTGGAAGAGAAACTTTCTGTTTGTTTTGATCCACCTCTGGGTGCACAAGGTGAGAGACTTGGATTATTGCTCAAAAGAAGCTGAGGGGGCTTCTCACCTGATGTTTCAAGCATTCTAAATTCTTCTAATCAGATATTGCAGATTTAAGCTTAAATAATGGTCAATCCTAACCCACTAACACATGAAAGCAGATTATGGAAAGAAAAGTAGCGGCTAGATGTTCAAAAGCAATGAAAAACAAGGGCACTATATTGGAGGTGGAAAATATAATGAACAGTTTAATCATAATACTTATACATATGTATAAAGTAATTCTCCCATTCCTGAAGATTAACATCAAGTCATGATTTTATTTTGGGACAAGATCTATTATGCACAAGCAAAATAAGAACATTATTACAATTATTTTCTTCCTTTCTATTTTATTTTCATTTGCTAAAGTCACCAACATTATAAAATATAATTTTTTTTGATAAGGGAAAAAAATAATATAAGGAAAGAAAAACATCACTTTTTAAAACCATTTAGTGAAAATACATTTTTAGTCTTATATATAAGTTTACCAAAGTATAACATATACAACCCAGCCAAAATTAAAGATTTGTATGCCAAGATTTCATTATGACTCAGCCACATAACTTTTTTCCTATGCAAATGATATTCAAATGAGTGCAATGTAGTTTGGGTATCTGTCAAAATAAGTCAAGTTCATGGTATTATCTTCCTCACTGGAAATGACATGCTTTAAATGAAGCACACCAGATTTTTTTCCATTCTCTCTTTCAAAAGGTTGATAGTCCTTGCCATAGAAAATCAGTTCTACATAACTGTTCTAAACCAGCATCTTAATTATAATTGAATTATAACTACTGATGCTCCTTTTAAGTTACAGTTTTGAAATTGTGAGCTACTTTCCAAATCTACAAAAGGAAGTACAAGTATCATGAAAGTTAAAAGGCTTTCCCACCTAGACAATAGAACAAGTAAGTGCATGCCTTAAATCATTTGCCAGATAAACCCTCTTCATTTTGTAGAGGGCCTGCAATTGTTGCAAAGCTGTGTCTTAGATTCTCTCTTTTCAACTTCAAGTGATGTTCTATAGAACAAGCTTCTTTCAGGATCCCTTCAAGCTCCTCTACATATGAAGCATCCATTGCTGCTCTCTCACTTTATTCATAAAAAAGAGAAACACCTGTATTTAAAACTGCTACATAGAAAACTAAAATTTGTATCAATGTTCTCAATTATTGCCAAGCATTTTTAAACAATGAGGGTAAGCTATTAAATACATATTACAGGAGAGTATTATAAATATAAACTTTTAGTTGGAAGATACTGAATTCATGGTATAATATATAGTGGTATTTTGCTTATATGAAGTGCTCCCTTGTAGCAATATGTGGGGAGTTTGGTGTTTTGTTTTGAACACTTTGGGTAAAATTCCTTTTTGTGACAGTCCACTTAACCTATGGAGCCTTTTCCTGTTCGTAACTGGAGCTCCCTACATCTCCTAAAACAGCTCCAAGGTCTTCCAAATTGCCAGGGCAGACGTGAAAGATATACCGAGAGTTATTACAAGACACTATTCCTCCATGCACGCACTGCTGAGAGGCAAGGCGGCAAAACAACTTAACCAAATTTTACCATTGCAAGTACATAGTTAAGAGTATAGGTTGGTTCAGAAGACAGACACTGAATAACTTTGGATCTTACTATAAATTTTAAATTTGTTTTTCTAGCTGAAAGCATTTTGTTACAATATGCAAACAGTTGATTTATTTTTCCTTTTAAGTAAATAAAAAGGATTAAAACACAATTTTAGAAACATCAGATACATCAACAGTTGAATATGTGTTCAAAAAAGAAATTTTAAAATGTCAAAAATAAAATAATTTACTTGCCTCAAAATTTGTGCATACTTTGATAATAGGGCATTGATTTCTTTGCCCGTATCTGTTAATATAAATATTTATTTCATTAAAATTGGGGTGTAAATGTAGGCAAGAAGAATGGCTAATATTTTTTTCAAAATAATACCCTTTAAAATGGTTTCCAAAGTGTCAGTTTTATGAAATTTCTGGGAGCTTTCAGGAGCCGGATCATTTTTTTCCAAAAAACCCAACTGTGCATTTCCTGAAGTTTCATTCTATAAAAAGGGAGAAAAAAAAACAGTGAAGGGTTGAAAAAAAATATCAAAAAATATCAAAAAAATATCAAAAAAAATCAAAGTAGTCCATGGATTTCCCCAGCCAAGCCATACCTTTGTTTCGGTACATGACTCACAAGATTGTAAATAAACACAACAAAATTGAAAAGGAAATTACTGTAGCTTAAACAATAATGATGCTACCTAGTACAAACTCACCTTTGCTTCTTTTTTACGTTTATTTTTGTTTTCATCTGACTTTACAAGGGTAGTTGTCATTGTTACCTGTACAAGTACAAGGTCATTATTTGTGAAAAAAGAAATCTCTGGAACACCAGATAACAGCACATAAAACGAGTGTTAAGCACATCCTAAGATTACCAGGCTTTCCTGATGCAATCAAAGAGAGACAGCCTCAGAAAAAGAGGACAAAATAACTTGCACCCAAGGACAGCCTGCTAAAATTTGATTTTGCCCCCACTTTATACAACCTAAGTGGAAAATCCTAGTTTGGTGGCCAGGAATCTGTATTCTTTGATAATGCAACATTAATGGTATTGTGATAGTTGTCAAATTCCACCAGAGGTGATTGTTTCTCAGCAGGTTTAGGGTCACACCACCACTGCAGGCTGCAGAATTTACCATCCTCTAGCAGAGGGAAGCTGGGCAACATCTCCCACCCACCCATCCATCTTCAAGAAATGCAGAGGGGGGGGGCTTCCATCCATACCAGACACAGTGCCAGGAATGGTGGTTTGCAGCAACAGCCATATGGCAAAAAATGTGCAAAACTGGCAGCCCAGTGCATGGCAGGGGGTGACTCTCTGGATAGCGAGATGCGTGGCATATAAATTTAATTTAATAAGTAAATAAACGCACACACACACCAGCAGGGGTCTGTCCTTTAATATAGTTCACAAAACTCTTCTTTTAGGAAGCCGTTTGAAGCCTGTGAATGAGTCCTCTCTTTTATGCCTTTTTAAAATAAGACTTTGATTCCTAGCTGTTGGCTGCCCAGAGTCCTATGGGAGTCAAAACATTCTATAAATTAAAAAAAAACACGAAAAGAAATAAAGATAAAATACAAATTCAAATAAGCAATTACAATACAGCATAATAAAATAAAACCCGCAAACCAACTCTGACGAAACGGGGGGGAAGGGGGCTCTTTTGTTTCACCCCCCCCCACCGATCCAAAATAAGCTCTGGCTTCATAATCTCCCCGGCTGGGGATGATGGGAGTCCCAGTCCCACCCACAACTGGGGGGTTTCCCGGTCCGGGCCGTCTCTCAAATCGCCCCCCGGTGATCCAAGCAGCCCCTGCTGAGCCCAGTCCAGGTCAAGCTGGGCTGAGGGGGGCGTCCCGGGATGGGTCTTTCTTTTGCCCCACGTTGTCTTTAGACCCGCGGGAATCCCCTGCAGGACGAATTCGGCCGTGTGAAAGCGACAGGACACGTTTCGGGTGAAGGATCGACAGGGAAGACACCGCCCCCCCCCCCCCCGCTCTCACAAATGGCAAGCCGAGGCTGCCGACGCTCTGAGGCCCATGGGCGGCACCAGTGCGCATGCGCCGCGCCGCCCCACAGGAGTGACGGTTAAGCGGCGTCTCGCGCTGGGAGGAGGACCGTTTTGGCGGGAAATGCTCACGTGGCGCCCAGGCCTGGTGCGGCAGGGCGCCGGGTTGGAGATGTCTAGAAGGGCGTCTTTCTAAAGCAGGGTTTCTCAACGTTGTGGTCTTTCAGATTGGTGGGTTTTCATTCTCAAAATGCAACTCCCATCACATTAAATGATTAGATCCATCCACTCAAATTGTGCTTCTCAACTGTGGGCACTTTAAGGGGGGGGGGTGGACTTCAGCTCCCAGAATTCCATAGCATAGCATAGCATAGTATAGCTGGCTGAAGAATTCTGGGAGTTGAAGTCCACCCTTAAAGTGCCCACGGTTGAGAAACACTGCTTTGAATTAAGGATTCTTAGAAGCAAGAGAGGGACCCTCATTGGGGGGGGGGTCTGCCCCTCCCTGAAAAGTGGGGGAAGCATCAGTGATGCTGGCTCGGGATCCTGGACAATCCCAAGGCATGTGCAATTATAGAGGATGATCTTGGTCAGGTTTTATCCTGATTAAAGAGTTTGGTGCCACAGTTCTTATACCAAAAGAATCTTTTAAACTCCCAGGGTTGGGAGTTTTAGATTGTGTCTTTGTGTAATGTGTCAGAAAGCAACACACCAAACATTAGAAGGCATTGACGTGCTTTGTTAGATGTGAGAAGGGATAGACACCCTTAAAATATGTTGCATATCTTCCTTTCGCTAGCTGGGTTTGTTCCTTTAATACTTCCAGTCTTAATTAAGGACATCAGAATTCCACCGATTGTAGAAAAAGCTGGGTTTTTTTTGGGGGGGGGGATACCACAGAAAAAGTTCAGCCAAAAGTTGAGTTTTCTAAAGTTCCAAAGGAGGCATGGATGCCATGCTAAAATGCTATTATTGCCTTTAATTAAAATGCTACAAATCAGGCCTGAAATTCTAATGAGAATCCAAGGTCTGAAGGGAGATGGAGATCCATCCAGGCAGGCAACCAATCCAGTGCACCAAGGTGTTTCAGCTGTCTTGGAAGATGTGATTTACTTCCTGTTCCGGGCTTTCCTTATTCTCCTCTCCTTTCACTGTTGCCTGATTTAACTATAAAAATACCAGACAGTTCTGCATATTGTCAAAGCAAGAATATACAGTATTTGCAGCATTGACATCAGCCCTGCCACCCACCTCTTCCCCCATCCCTAGATCTCCACCCAGAAGAAGACCTCTTCTTAGCCACTGCCAACGGCTCCTAGTCCCATTTCGGCAAGGGAGCAAGCTGTGAGCATCTGCTACCAGCTCCTGGGACTGATAATGGTTTATTAACCTCCCTGCCACAAGGAAAAAGGAGGGGGAGGGAGCTCAACTGGCCTTTAGGTGCTTATGGGGCAAGGAAAGATCTAGGGGAGATTTCCAAATTATGTCACAAGGACACGTGGCAGAGGGTCACACAGATCACACAGCATTCTGGAAAAGAGGCATAGCAACCCTCCCGGAAAGAAGTGTGTCAGAAGAATGGGAAATAGCAAAATACAGAAGTCAAAATAGGTTCAAATGTCACAATTCTTTAAAGAAAAAGAAGCAAGTATGATTCTGCTGACATTACGAAACCAAAGAATCAGAAAAAAGAGTTTTAGTAGGCTATAAAATAGACTATAGGCCAGGGGTAGTCAACCTTGGCTCTTTTATGACTTGTGGACTTCAACTCCCAGAATTCCTGAGCCAGCACAGGTTGACTACCCCTGCTTAGGTTATAAATCCAGAACCAGGGATTCAAGAGAGGACAAGCTGGGGTCCTTGCACTCCTGGAGATAACTTCTGGAGAAGATGGTGTTTGCAGGAATGAAATGGACAGAAGCCTTTGAGGGCAGAACAATGCTTTCTCTCTTGAGGGAAGTCCTTCAGGAAGGGAATCTGTGCCATGTCAAGTTTTTTATGAGATTCTTTTTTTACTTGCCTACTTTCTGACATCAAATTTTAAAAAGTGTAGTACACGGGAGACTTTAAGCAAGCACTGGCCTGATCCATCTCTGCACTCAGATGGACAAAGCTGTTTTCCAAAGGACACCCAAGACTTCAGACAAATAGAAAACCAAACATTACAATAAAGGCAAACCAGCTGTTCCACAAATAAAGAGACCATCACACACAAGCAGTCACCACACTGACCCTGATGTATGGAGGTGTCTTCTAAAAATACAGCACTCAGATTTGGAGGGCAGGTATTCCCCCTGGAGGGGAAACCGTCCCACCTTTCAGTCTTCCCTCTGTCAATCCAGGTGGAGATGAAGAGTCCCCCCCCCGCAAGGCTGCCTTTCAACTTGTCCCCCACCCCAACCACTTACCCACATTCCCAGACCGAAGGCAGAAGCAGGAAGCACCCCATCCCCGACTTCCCTCCCTTCCTGCCAGCTCCTTCTCTGGACTCTAGAGAGCAACGCTGTCCAACTTGGCAACTTTAAGATCGGTGGACTTCAACTCCCAACTTTGCTGGCTGGGAAATTCTAGGAATTGAAGCCCCCAAGTCTTAAAGATGCCTAGGTTGGACTCCCGTGCTCCAGAGTCAAGCCCCTCGGACGGCCCCGGTGCCCGGCCCGACCCGCTTCCCTTCTCCGCCTCCTCCCCGCCAAGGAAGGAGCCCAGCGGAGCCTCCTGCCATCCCGGAGTGGGGGTCGCGCACCCCGCCGCCTCGCTTTCCCCGCCCTCGCGGCCCAGAGGCGCTCGCCCGGCCCGGAGGAAGCGCCTTCTCTGCACGAGTTCCCACGCAAGACCGCCCTGGCCGCTTCACCCACTGGCGGAGCCCCAGTCAGGCCGGCGCCCGGGTTTCTTCTGGGCTCTTTCTGCGGGCGCCCGACTCAGGGAAGGGAGACACCGCTCGGACAAGCTCCTCCACGGGAAAGGGGCGAGTGGCGGGGCTGCTGTGTGCTTCCTTTCGTGCAAGAGCCGCGCCGTCGCTCCGCTCTGTCTGTCTGCCCGTCTCTGCCCCCTACCTGCCCTTCTCGGCTGCCACCCGCAGGGGGCAAAGCCTCCTCGAAAAGGAGCCCGGGGCTCGCCCGACTTTCCGCCCAGAAAACCGAGCCGAGCCTCGTCTCTCCGCCGAACCGAAGCGGTTCGCACCTGCCCAGCGCCCTCCCGCTCCGACAGGTCCCCGGAGGGGGGGCTCCCCGCCTGGGAAGGGGCCGGGCCGAGCCATCATCCCCCGGGCAAGCCCTGGGGCGGGTCGACTTGGGGGCCGGGCCGAGGCGGGGCGCCCGCGCTTCCCGGCACTCGCCGCTACTCGCCGCCCGCACTGCAGCTTCGCCCGCGCCTCCCTCCGGCCGCGCTCCCTCCCAGCTCGGGCGCCGCGCGGGCAGGTGGGCTCCCGGGCAGGCGGGCGGGCGGAGGGGAGGCGGGGGTCTGCGGCGCCCACCCACCCTTCCCCGGGCAGGCAGCGGGACGAGCCCGGCCAACCTCGCCCGGCCAAGCCCGGGCGCTCCTCCGAGCCCTGCCCCGCGAGGCTCCGGAGTGGGTGGGCGCGGATGCGAGTGGGAAGCCCGGCAAGCCCCGTCCGGGCCCGCTAGAAGGAGGCAGCCGGGCTCCCTTCCAGCCCTGCCGGGAGAGCCGGTTCTTCTTCAGCCTCCTCCGGGCCTGGCAGGCGGCGAAGCTGGCAGGCGGGAAGCCAGGGGAGCAGGGAGGGCGCTTCCCGGGGGGGGGGGGCTTGAGCTGCTCCAGCGGCTGCTCCAGATGTGCTGAGCAGGGCAGCTCTGGGCTCCTGTCCTCTCCTCCTCCCCGTCACGCGCGAAATAAATCATGCATCTCTCCCTTCTTCCCCAGAGAGCAAGGATGTGCAGCGATATGATCGAGATGCTGCCGGTGGATTTGGATGGAAAAGGCAATCTCTATTTCCAAGGTAATTCCTGGAGGATTTCCGCTGGAGGAGACCCAGGCAGGCGGCCGGCTCTGCACCAGAGCCTTTCGGAGCCTGCCGGGACGAAGCCCGGGGCTTGCTCCTGCCCTGGAATGAGGAAGCTCTGTGGGCCGCAAAATGCTCCTTCTGCGACCGCAAAATGCTCCAGATTCTCGAATGAAACTCTCACTCTTCCAAGGGGAATTCCTGTAGAGCCGCAGCCGCTGGCACTAAGGACGGGAATCCTATTTCATTCTGGGCAGAGAACGGGAGGGCAAAATGATCCTTTACCTGAATTCAGATCATGGTTTAATGTCTCCTTTTCTTCTCTCCCACCCTTTTGTCTCCCTCCTGCCTGCTGCTTGAAACGAAGAACAAGGTAAGCGGTGCAAACACCTCTCTGCTCCTGAAATGCTGGCTTTGTTTCTTGTTTTTTTTCCCCAAAAGTACCACTTTTCTTTCTAATCGCTATTTCATAAAGTAGCATAACAGCAGGGGTCTGCAAACTTGGCCACTTTAAGACTTGTGGACTTTAGTTCCCAGAATCCCCCAGCCAGTTGAGGTCCACAAGTCTTAAAGTGACCAAGTTTGCAGACCCCTGTATCATAGCCTCAACTCCATCATGAAACAATAAAATACATAGAGCCATTCCCCCCCCCCCCCCGCATCAGCTTTTATCTGCGATTTCATAACTATTCATGCAGGGAGAGGGGGGCGGAAATCACATCATTTCAGTAATCTACATGAACAATCAGGGTGCAATGCGATTATAGTATGGATTATTTATTACTATGGATTGTTCATTAGTATGGATCACTGATACAGCGAGAAGAACAAACGAAAGCAAATCAATGAAGTGTTAGGATTGAATTAAAATTCATTCTAGATTTAACATGACCCCCAAGAATAGATGTAAACGGCTGCTTTAAAATCAAGAGGATTGTTAGAAACAGGCCAAGGGCAAGTGAGTGACTCTATGCCCAATCTGTACATTAAATCAATATTTTTACTTTACACACTTGCTTCTAGTATGATTTTACCGAATGGGGGAATCTTTAACTTAATTTCATGAGCTGCAAAGACATTTCTCCATTTTTATTTGCTTCACTATAAAAAATTATAGACTCACCGAAATGAAAGAAAGCATTAGTTATGGGCAAAGACAGAAAGAATATTTAGTTTCTTTCTTCTTTCTTTGGCTTATTTAAAATATGGTTCGTTTCAAAGTCAAAAAAGGAATTATGTTATATACATACATAATATGTATATATATAAAATAGTGTAAATACATTCCAGAAGAGACAATATATTCCCTGTTCTGACCTCAGATTTATCATTTTCTTCTAAGTGTTAGAAACAGACAGCTGGAGAACATCAGGAAAATGTGAATCTGCCCAAATCTTCCGAATTCCTAATAACCATGTCCTCATCGCACAGCCGGCTGACAAAGATTTCCCTGCAGTATTTGAACGCAGAACAGACCAGGAAATTCGGAAAGGTACAGTAGCGGTTTTGCATCTCTGAATGTCTGAACAGATTAAAAGGGTCTCATTCTGATTTCGTATTTTCTCGTATTTCATGCCCCAGGAAAAGAACTTGGGAAGAGGAGAAGCAACTTGCAGATTAGTCACTGCAATCAGGACTGAAAATAGCTTTGTAAAAGCGATGCAGAAAGATAATAAATTACGAAATTGTTCTTTATGCGTCATAAGAATTTATTATTGATATAGGCAGGGCTCCTGGGTGAAACTTCTTTTTTTCATATATTTTCAAGGAAGTTTTTAAGGCTGGGAAAATATTTAAATGAGCTACAACATCTGTTGAAATTTTATGGCTTGCCTTTTTCCAGTCATTTCCAGATCATTTATGGCAAGCTCTCTCCTACTAGCCAAATGATTAAAAAAAAACAAAAAACCTGGACCAAGCTTTTAAGATTGCCTGATGCATGAATTGGGTAATTTTTGTACTAAGAAACTTTCCTACAGACTTTCATAGGAGAAACAGATAACAAATTTTAAGGTTCTCTTATCTGCTGCTAGACCCTCACAAGAAGAAAACCAACCTCTTGTTCTTTTATTGCAGTATCAGGTATCAAATTTGACATCCACAGTTACCAAGACACCAAGCCAAAGGGGCTGTCAGTGGTCTTCACTGTGGAATTTAACCATCAGACTTACCTCATGTGTGTGGAGAAAAAAGAAAACAAAATGAGGGTGAATTTTAAGGTATGCTATTGACAATTGGGGTTGGGCCAAGAGGTTAGTTTTTATTGTTTATTGTAAGTTGGCAATGATTTCTGTGACCTTAGACATTCTTTATCTGGATGGTTTTTATAATTACTGTTGGCTTTCCCTCCTGAGGCTGCCTACAGTCATTGCTATAAAATTGTTTTAAAAATAAAAACTCTAGGGCTATACAGATAGCCTAAGCCCTAAGGAGATCACATGACCCCGGGACATGGCAACCATCATAAATATGACTGTTGCCAAGCGTCTGAATTTTGATCACATGACCACGGGGATGCTGCCAGAGTCCTAAGTGTGAAAAATGGTTATGTCACTTTTTTCAGTGCTGTTGTAATTTGAAACAGTCACCAAATGAACTGTTGTAAGTCGAGGACCGCCTGTACAGCATTCCAGAAATTATTCAGAAACAGCTTCATGACACCCTGTTACTGTTTAAAACAGCCGCCTCTTTTCTGGGCTTATAAGGCTGCACTACTATGTGATGTTGGGGGGGGGAAGGCAGCTGTTTTAAGTGCTGCAGGCAGGGGTTATATTTATGATCCCATATGCATGGAATTATTTCTGATTGTGCCCCCACGGTCAACACTATTTTATAAGTTCTGTACTTGTTGAATTGCATCACTGATAATCTCCTCAATGGAAAATGCAAAAAGTTCTAGAGACAAGGGACACCTGGGCTATAAACCCTCCCCCCCCCTATAAAATTCAGTGCTACCGTAGCTTTGGTTTGGCAGAAAGAGGCTGCCTTCTTTTTCTTAAGACAGCCAGTTCTTAAAACGTTTTAAGATAGCTTGGATGTATCTTGAAAACCTGAGTTTAAAAAGAATTAGACTTAATCTTATCCAAGGATGTTCTTATCATGTTATTAAGATTGATTCAGTGCTAATTCCAAACTATAGTTCAGATTCACTAATGTTAAGAGTTCAGATCATGAACCGTGTGAATTCTGGATTAACCTAACCAAACAATCTCTGCAAATAAAGTTCTCAGACTGGAGGTGAGATCCTGGTTTAGTGGTGGTTGTGCATATGGAGTCAATAAAGTTCACAGTAATAATAGCCATTAGGGTATTATTGGATATTGGCTGATTGGTCCCTGTTCCAGTTACTCCCAATTAATTCTCCACCCACTCCCTATGAATGTAAAAGGTCCAAATTGCTTGCATGGATGGAGTTTAAGACAAAACATAAATTAAACATCTATGGAGATTCTCAGTCCTCCAGGTCAATGGTTGTCCCAAAGGTGCTTTTTCAAAAGGCAACTGGACTTTGTTTTTCCTTGGACCCTTCACTTCTCATCCAAGCAGCTCCTTCTGAACTGAAACTGAAGGAGCTTCTTAGATGAGAAGCGAAACTTCTTCCAAGGAAAAGTCCACTTGCCTTTTGAAAAAGCACCTTTGGGACAAAACTAAATTAACAAAAGTGCAGAATTGATTTAAATATAAAGCAGCCTCTCTCCCATCAAACAACTGTGGCAGCAAGCAAGCTCTTTAGCCCAATTCTGAGCTCTCTTTGAGATCTTTCCTGGGGATAAGAAATTCTGGCTAGTGGTCTTTCTCGTTGAGTCCCCCTCCCTGCCACGTTTGGATTCCTTTCAAGATGGTTTGGTCTCCATTTCAGGCAGGTACAATTCCCCACCACATCGAAGGAGACACCAGCAACATCATCTTCATCAAAACCCGGTTTTCGGCTGGTAGCAGGCAATTTTACAAGTTTGAATCTGCTTTGGAAAGTGGCTATTTCCTGGCCTTTGAGGATGCTGAAGATAGCTCTACGACCGTACTGGTAGTCAAGAAAGTAGAACTGGCGGACGAAGTGGATGAATCCACAAAGCTATTCCACGCTCCACTTCTCTGACAAGGAAACCCAAGTAAAAAAATAAATGAGATTGCAAGTGGTAGAAAAAGTGCAGATTTTAAATGGTTGATGTAGCTTTACTAGAATTGCTAGAAAGTATATTATAAAATTTCTGACACACTCCCCTCGCTTGATATTTGAAAACTGATCAGTGGAAGTGTCTAATTAAGAGTATCTAAAATTTGGTGGGGTAAATAATTGCACTAAGAAAAGCCACACAGCTTTGTAAGAAATTCTAATCTCAACCAATTACCAATAAATATAAAAACTAGACAATAGCCACACAGAAAATGCTAGATAAAACTAATCGAATGTCAACATTTTAAACCTTACCTAGGCGTAGTCTAAGGCATATTTTAAAAATTGAGATATTATATTTTTAATAAAAACTAAAATTAATCCAGAAGCTGTTTTGTTATTATTTGTTGGATGTATTTGTGTAGGTCGTAAAATTGGGTGTAACACAATTTAACAACCGCTTTGCTTAGCAACAGAAATTTTGGCCCCGAGTGTGATCAAAAGTCAAGGATTATCTGTGTTTGTTAACTGGCAAATGAATGTAGATTATGATTCGGAAATTTTAGGTTTCCCATTTTTAAAAAAAACTGTCATGGATATATCATCTTGATAATCAATTCTAGCTGTGCGTAAGTTTACTAATAACTGTATTATTTTGTTTTCTTCAAATGATATATTCTTTTAGCCCATTAAATAATAAAAAATACATTTCAAATGCAGGGAAACTCTCACACTGCAATCAGAAAATTGGTCCACACAAACGAAGGGTACCAGGAGAAAAGAGGGCGCATGCAGTACTTCTCCCAAAACCGACTAAGAGAAAGATAGGCTTTCTTCAAAAGGCTAAGCTCTAATGGCCAAGGTCAACATCACAATCTCTCTTTCTAAACAAAGATCGAGTTGGCCCGGAACAAAACGACAATTCAATTGCAATCTCGGCATCAAGAAGCCAAAACACCATTTTTGGGGGAGAAATCAGAGAACGCAAGACAAAAGAGGAGGGTGAATCTCAGAACAGGACAGCCGTTTTGGCAGATTCTGGAAATCTGTTTATTTCTAAAGCAAGTTTCTAGATCTTACGATGGAAAAGGTATTGTTTCTAAGCTCTGTATCAGTCATCGGGTTCCCAGCTTATGCTAAATTCAACCTCAGGAACGATGTGCAGGAGCTGGCTTTGAGCAAGAGACGATTCTGTGACCCAAATGCATGCATGATTTCTCTTGGAGATGTTTTAGCTCCACACTGATAAGGGGGCAGAATGAGCTGTAATGTTCCAGTTAAACCACAATCAGTATTTTTTAAGGGGAACTTTCACTCTTGTTTGAAACGTCTGAAAGTGCCATGCCAGGACATGTTCACACAAGGTGGTTTTTCAAACCTCCCACACAGGTTCTGCACTGATCTACTTTTTTCATCAGTTTTAAACACGTACCAAGGCATATTTTGTATAGTATGTTTATGTTGTTAGCTTGGGAGGTGGGATATAAAAATATCCAAAACTTTTTATTTTTAAACGTTAAGATGATACATTTAAATGAAGTATGTACTTCTTTTCTCAACTTTACTCAAGCATCAAAAGGATAAATCTGCCCAACAAAACCTGACATCTCCAGAGACAATGGAATGGGCAAACCCTGGATTTCAGACTCACACAGTTGCAGGTTCTACAAATCCTTTATTGTACATAGTTTAGACTTCCCTTTTTCATTGTGCAAGATGCCATGTACATACTTCATTCGTTTGCAACAAGAGAGCCAGAAACTCGAGACAGGATTATCAACATGAATGATGCTGAGCTGAGCCTGCAGTTTGAAAGGTCAAGGGCCTCCCATCTGCAGAGGCTCCCAGCATAAGCCAAAGCTTTGCCTGGGTGCTTTTCCCCAGCTTCCTTCGGGTCTAATTCTCGCCTTAGTGAGAGATCCCAGATCTTCTGAATGGCAACAGCTGTGGACATGGATGTGGGTGTTTCCCAGCAGCCGTTCTGCTACATGCAAAGCACGCCCTTCGTTGTTCTCCTGCCCACCCTCCAGGGCTCGGTAATAGCGTAAAGAAGCAGAGGCAGCAGTGAACGGCTGCTGGACTCTCTTGGCAGGGATCAGAGGCTCCACAGCATCGCCACCGCCCTGCAGATGCCTACGTCGTGGTAGTTGAAGTAGCAGAGGCCTGCAAAGGTGACTGCCGAAAGTAGGTAGAGGCCAGCATTGGCCAGTTTAATGGAGGTCTTTCCGTGGACATAGTCAGTTACAAGTTGCCCCAGGCCCCTGCAGGGAAGGGAGAAAAAGAAACAGGAAGCTGGCTGAAGACACGTTCAAATTCTTCCAAAGGTTTTCAAACTTGGCTGAGTTAGAATTGGCCAAACTCACAGTCACTTTGCAGATTACTCAGTGGGCAGTGAGAAACCACAATGTGGAAGAACGTATTCCCACTTCCCCAAAGGTTGTTTCATCTGATTTTTGCTTACTCCTTCAGCAGAGAGCTGAAAAGTTCATATTAAGCCCATGGAGAACAACACACCCACTCTCAGAAGCTTTAACCTGGGTCCAAAGAGGCATGATACCCTCCAGAGGTTGCCACAGCCCAATTTCCACCCAACTCAGCCCATCTTCTCAGTTATGGGAGCTATTTGGATGCTTTAAGAGTTAAGTATTTCTACTGAGCCTGAATGGTAATGGGGGAGGAGGGACTCTCTAAATACCAACAACAACCCTGTGAGATGGGTTAGACTGAGGTGGGAGGAGGGGGAAGGGGCTCAAAGTCACCCAGCCGGCTTAACAAACAAACATGCAAACATTAAGTTTGCAGGAGGGGGTCAAAACTGTTGGGCAGCTAACAAACTTAAATAATTGAAAATAAAAATATATCAAATATTAACCTAATGACAGGGGAAAAAACCCTCCGTTGAAGCAATAGCTGGGTTTTCCCCTGCTATAACAACAGACAGTATGAATATAAACAATGATGAAATGTAATGCCAGTCAATCCAGAAAAAAGGAAATTATGCAACTGGCCCAGAAATCCAGGGAACAGCGTGATGCAACTACAAGAAAGCATGTGGGGTTGCATCAGTGCATGCACTGCTTCTAAACCGCAGGAAGTGATCGTCCTTAAATCGCATCCTAGCGATTGTGTCCTCTTTTGTTCACTATAGTGCCACACTGTAAAGAGAACTCAGGCAGAGGTAGAAGGAATGCTGAGAAATGTCACAAGGATGAATACCAGGGACTAGAAATTTAAGTCCTATGAAGGGATATTGAAGCAACTGGTCACATTTAACCTTGAGAAGATGCTTGAAGGGGGAATATGATAAAAGTCAGAAAATGGAGCACAACATTTTCTTAGTTCTCCCAAAGGACAGGCCATGAAACAGCCTCTTTCCGTTACAGGCAGCCAGATTCCAAATGAATGTTAAAAATACTTGGAGTAGGCAGCCTGCCCAAGTTCTCAGATGAATGGCCTGGCATGAAGACACCAAAGGCCCCTCTTCCAATGCCAGTCACAAACAAGGAAATTAAAATGATTGAAGGGAGCAAAACAGGAAAACTCTTTATTTTTCTGGGAAGGGAAAAAGATTTTCCTGCTTAAGGATGGGAACTTTTGTAAAAGAAATAAGAGTTTTCCACAAACAAGGGAGGAAAACCCACAAGGGGGAAAAGGAGAAACATAAAACCACTTGTTTTGGAGGCCCTTAACCCACTTTTGGCAAGCCAGACATCAAAACATGTCAACAGGCCAACTGAGTCATTTTCTCACTTCCCAAGAAGAGCAAAACTTTCTTACCCGCCACAAAAGAGGACATCACCCTTTCCAGGAACCCAGAGCGATCGCTTAGTACAGGAAAGAATGTTATTTTAATAGCCCTCCTGGGGAAGGGCTAATCTGCAAGATTTTTCTCTTAACAGCTCCCATTTCCAAGGCCTAAATTCTTGCCCATTGCTGTCAAAGGGAAGAAAGCAGCCTGAAGGGACCCGAAAGGGGCTGCCCTAGATTTTTCTCCCCCTACATACACACCTTTACCCAGATGAGGACACCCTTGGGATTCTTATACCCCCAAATTCCTTGGGCACAGCACTTGCTGACTGCCACAAGAGACTACCCAACAGAAATATTTCATGGGGCAGAAGGGAAAATAATTACAACCACAGAGAAAATGTGTTTAGCTTACTGAAGTTTAGTTAAACAGAAGTGTGAACAAAACAGATCTTTGCAGCCTGATCCACTTTTTAGATCTGGGTTTTTTCAAATTTGGGTGGTGCGGGGGCTCAAAGGCTAAGATGCTGGGCTTGTTGGCTGGGAAGCCGGCAGTCCAGGTTCGAGACCTGAGCACCCCACAATGAGGTGAGCTCCCATCCGCACTCCAGCTCCTGCCAAGCTACACGTTTGAAAGCATGCAAATGAGAGTAGATAAATAGGTACCACTTGGGGGGCGGGGAGGCAACAGTGCTGCATGACGTCGCGTGGGCCATCTGACTACAGAAATAACTTCAGACAGTGCTGGCTGAACGGCTTTGAAACGGAGATGGCCTATAGTTGGCAACGACTGGTGGAGTAAAATCTGCAGGGACTCCTTTACCTTTACCTTTTTCCCCAAAAACTTGGCAACTTTAAGATGTGTGTGGACTTCAATTCCCAGAATTCCCCAGCCAGCCAAAAGCTCAACCCTTTTTATAGGACAGCTCTTCCCTTGGAACTCCCCACCATACCAGCTGAAGAGACAGCAGGTGTCTGTCTGGTGGGCCTGCTTCCCTCCTGACTCACCAGTGCCCGTGGAGTGTGAGAGTTGCTGCCAGGGAGTAATCCACAGCTGCTCCAGGATACAGATAGGCTGCTGGCAGGAGTCCAAGCAGGAGGATGCTGACTGCTCGCTCGCTGGTCCAATGGAGAGAGGCGGCCTTTGAACCAGCTGCAGACAGATGCAGCATTTTAATGCCCCGAGAAATGGTGTGCTTGAGAGCAAGAAGCAACGCTCCAAGTGTGGAAATGGAAGGTATGTGTTTTATCTTGCTGTAAGCGCTTAAAGTCGCCCTGAACCGTGACATTGGGCAGCAAATCAATTTGATGATAATATTGTAGAGCAAATTAAGAGGTTCCCTCCTTTTTCCAAAGGGATATGAAAATGAAACATGCCAGACCATCAGAACTTTGAATCTGGGCCATAAGTCTCCCTTTTCGGTTCAATTGGAAGCTAACCAATCTGTTGTAACTTGAGGGCTACCTATAAGGAGCTGGCAGAAGCATAAACGTACAAGCAAAAGAGGGAAGACCCTCTAGAGTAGAGGTCTCCAAACTTTTGGGTACCAGGGACCGGTTCCGTGGAGAAAGGTTTTTTCATGGACCGGAGAGTGCGTGGTTTTGTGTGCTGCCTGCATCCCTCGGATGGGGCTTTGCTTGCTTGTGCAGACCGGTTGCTGGCATGCTGTGGCCCAGTACCGGTCCACAGACCAGGGGTTGGGGACCCCTGCTCTAGAGTGCTTTGGTAAAGGACCCTAACTGGAACTCAGTCAGCCTTCAAAAGAAACTTGGCTTTCTGAATATCGAAGCTTTTTCCCACACAGCCTGAATCTGCCCCAACCTATTTCCACAGTCATGAGGAATAGAAACTTGCTTTTTTATTTCTTTACAGTAAACAAATAATATTTGTGATTTCCAAGAATTGATGCTGTGAGCTAGTGCACCATGCTTTCATTGCTAGACAAAAGGCCCCTGATTTAAATCTCTGGAATAGGCTTCCCCCAAGATCCAGATGGCTCCCGCTCTCCTCTTGGTTCGAAGAAATGCAAAGGCTGGACTCTTAAACCCAGGCTTTGGCAAGCGAGAGTGAAACTTCATTGCATTGTCCACTTTTATCTTTGTTTGTTTAATGCTTCATTGGTTTTATTGTACTTTGATTGTTGTGAGCCACCCAGAGAAATTGAGAATTGAACAAACTACATTGTTGTTTGTCCAATTATTAAACAATTGCATTAGAAGAGACAGAGTTGTGTATTTACAACCATGTTACAACCTTGCCCCAAGCAGCAAAACAAATTGAATTCAATTTTTCAATTGAATACAACCATGTCTCAAACAGAAGAGACATGAATATGGATTTCTTTTCACAACAAAGAACAGGAAATTGTGATTTTTCATTGAATCAATGGAATCCATAACCTTTAGGGATATTGCTCAGAAAAGAACAGTGAAAATGTTTAGAAAGTTCCTGTTTCTTGTCTCTGAGACAAGGGTGGGAACCTAAGACTTTGCTTGCCAATGCGGCCTTTGCTTTGTTGAATGAATCATAAGACTAACAAGCAGACACACAAAAAAGGAACTAAAGGGAGACCTACCCAAACTCCTGGCAGATGTGTGAAATGTGCATATCTGATGACGAGGAGGAGGAGGATAATCTTCAATTGGTCTAGTCAAGGAAGCTGCTGGTCTAGCCAAGAGATACCTGTTCAGGACAACTGTGGGCAGAATAGATGGATTTCATTTTGTAAATAAGAACACTTTTGATCTCTAGATCCCACTAATGCCGATTACACACTACTGGTATGAAAATACACTACCACAATGCTTAAAATATTTTTAAAAGCCCTTTGTCAGAGCTGTAGAATGTAGGAATCAAAAACAAGCTTTAATGCAGCGAAGAAACAGCGGCTCACCTATCTACTGGAACATGCTTTTAAACAGAAAAATGGATTTCAGAAGCATCAAGCAGCATGGATGGCACTGTAGAAAGGTAGATCCCAATCTATCATCATTTAAACATGAAATGTGTGAGGCAGCCCATAAATTAATGAAAGATAGGTGATAAAACTGGATGTTCTTCAAATTCCAGCTGTTTTACTGATTCTGGAAGCATTCCAACCCCACAGAGCAGTCTTCACACATTGTTAAATGATGGGGAAGTGCACCTAAGACTTTGTTTGCCAATGCACCCTTTGCTGTGTTGAATGGAATTCTTCAGATTGCACACTCAGCACACATCTGAACACACCAGACTACAGATGTGAAAGACCATGTTTCTACATGTTTAGCCCTGCTTAAACACAGCTCACTGAATTAGGTTTGCACAACACATCAAATCATAAACAAATGGGCTGGGCACACACGCTATGCTACACTACTACATGTGTAGTACACCACATGCGATTACAATTTATGGTGCAGTGCACTTTGTAACAGAATCATATAATTCCTTGCAGTACACTTACTGCCGTCTTGTACTCTTCCTTGCAGAGAGCAAACCTGGTGCAAATGAGCTGGAAAAATAACAATCAAGTCTGACAGAGATCCCTGTTAAATGCACGCAGAATAAAAACTTCCAAAACACACACACACACACACATCCCACCTCCAGTTAGGCAAAACTGCTGCCTGATGCGCTTTTGGGCAAAAGAAAAGAAAATTTTCAGGCAAAAGAAAAGAAAAAGAAACTTCAGGCCGATTCCTGACAATCTTTCCTGCTGTCTTCTCCTATTGGCATCTTATGATTTATCACATTATCTGTATCTTATGATTAATAATTGCGACTATGATGTATGATCTATGACCTATCACTTTGTTGTTTGTGTGTACACTCAGAGCTTCTGCACCGGAGACAAATTCCTTGTGTGTCCGATCACACTTGGCCAATACAGTATTTCTATTTCTATTCCTGTTCTGTTCTACCCTCCCCTTTGGGCCAGGCGAGCACCTGCCTAGGCTGCCGCAGAGGGGCGTCCCGGGGCTCTGAGGGACTAAAGCAGCGCCGGCCCAGCGACCCTCGGGGGCTCCGGCCGAGGCAGCCAGGATCCTTTCTGCCTTCGGCAGGGGGAGGGGGGGCTAAATTTAAAATGCGACCCGCTGTCGCAGCGCCTGTTGCGGGTGCCTCTCACAGCACCCAGCCCGCCACAATTCACACGTGCTGGACGCGTGTCTTTCGGGCCCCGCCAGAGGAGTCCCCGGCCTCTCATCCCTGCCGGCCCAGAGGCGACTCGGCGCTTTCGCAGCCGGCAGAGCGGCCGAGGAGCGGAGAGGAAAGACGGCCGCGACCTGGGGGCCCTTCCGCCCAGGACGGCCCTCGGGAGCCGGGAGTTCGGAAGGGAGGCCTCGGGGCCCGCGCGGACTCCCACTCACCGGCCGCCGGCCGCCCGCCCAGCCCGGCCCGCCACAGCCACAGCGACGCCATCTTGCCCGAGGCGCAGCGCAAGGGCATCGGCCGGAAGCGGAAGCGCGGCACAAAAGGCGGGACTTCCTGCCAGGCCAGGCCGCACTTTTCCCCATCATGGCGGCCGAGCTGGGGCAGGAGACCGAGGTGGCGGAACTGCAGCGACTGGTGGCGGCCGAGGAGCAGCGGGCGCGCCTCACCGCCCAGGTCCGCTGGGGGGGGATGGCCGGCAGAGACCCCCCTCGTCCCCCCCAGTCGCCCTGCGGAGGGGGAAGGCGGGGCGGGAGGGCAGAACGGGGGAGGGGGAGCCAGAAAGCCTGGGGGGCAGGAGGAAGAGGGCAGAATGGGGGAGGAGGCAGGGGGCCTGGGGGTCAGAATGGGGGAGGGGGGCAGAACGAATGGAGGGGGACAGGGGGACTTGAGGGGCAGAAGCGGGGCAGGCAGGGTGTTTGGGGGACCAGGAGGGACGGACTGGGCAGATGGGCTGGGGAGGCTTGGGGGTGAGGTCGGGGTGGTGGTGGTGGGCACCCCAAAGCATCCTTCCCTTGCTTGGCTTCCCCTTCCAGGTCCACACCTTCATGGAGGTCTGCTGGGAGAAGTGTGTGGACAAGCCCGGCTCCAAGCTCGACTCCCGGACCGAGACCTGCCTGGCCAACTGTGTCAACCGCTTCATCGACACCACCTTGTCTGTCACCAACCGCTTTGCGCAGCTCATGCAGAAAGGCGGCCACTGACCCAGGCTCCGGCAGGCTCTGGAGGGGCCCCCTTCCCCGGTCAGCCTGAGGAAGAGTCGGCCAGCTGCCGATCGGTCCTCAGTTCCCCGACTGGCAAGGAAGGGGACTTTGTGGAAGAGACGCTGGACAAGGCATGCCAGCTACAAAATCAGGAGCACCTCCAAGCAAGTGGACTTGGTATAGCAATGTTGGACTACTGTCCTGCAATGGCAGGAGAATAGAAGTAAATGCACCCCGATGGTGTTAAACAAGCTCACTTATAAAATGAAAGGAGTATAATATTGCTGTTCTTCACAAGGGGATATAAAGATTTAGTCCAGTAATGCTGTGCACAGAATGATTTGGCTGGATCTGAAGCTGCTGTTAATAGCAGTACGAGAGAAATGTAATTTATTCTCCTTTAATCTTTTAGCACATTCTGTTCTGATCTAAGCTTACAGTAACACTGGGGAGATCAATCAAACATTTTATTTCACTGTGGGTATTTTTGAACAAAATGAAAATTGATTATTAAATGAAGAATGGTTTCTTGAATAAATCTGGTTGGCTTTGCACAACACACCAACCCATCAACAAAACACATGAACTAAATTCACACAACTGACTAGAAAACAGCACTCTGACCTATAAAGTTATGTATAAAGGCACCTATGTTTTCAGTCAGAATAACAAGTCAAATGCTATCTTTTGAAAAAGGAAAGATAGAAAAAATCCACCATCGCCTCTCTGGAATTCCTTATCCTTTAGATTTTTTTCAATGCCAGTCACTTCCTTTGAGTGTAACTTATGAACCTTTGCTCTCACACCACAAATCAGAAATGCAGTTAAAATTGCCTGTTTTTTGGCTAAAGTCAACATTGTTTATTTTTTCAGACCATTTAAACCAATTCATGCCAGTAGTTTGTATGTATAAAAAATAAGTTGATTTTCATAGAAATAACTTCAATGGCTTTGCTTCTCATAGCAACAATTATTTCCAAAAATACTTTTTATATCCCTATACACAAACGATAAAAAAAAAAGCCCAGCTTATTCTAAGTTTTAGATCAGGATCATTCCACAGACATTTAATGTTGGACAAATTTGTTTGGGGAGACCAGAAAAAAAAAGTATTAAATACAGAGCTGGCAAAAGGCTAAAGTGAGTATTTTACAAAATTTTGTGAAGGGGAAATGGGGATGGCCAAAAACAGAGAACTGCTCTGTGTTAGTGTATTAAGTTTTTGACAATCCTGCTTAGTATATTTTTGATGGACAAAGGCATATTTAGCAAATCTCTTGTTAATCTCATTGCTTCCCCCATATTTCAGGAAGTACAGTGTGTTAAGGAAGCTTTGAACTCTGTGCCAGGGTGCCCAGTCTCTTGCAGAACTGTAGTTGATAGCAGTATCTGGGGAGGTAGGAGACAGGTGTGATTTGGGCTGTATGCTGGGAATGTTCTTTAGTGAATCCTTCCACAGCCACTTAACAGGCATTAGAAAGCCAGGAAGAGCTTTACCAAAAAAGAAAAAAATCCTCCCCACCAATAACATGGCTCTTAATTTGGTACTGCACGCAAAGATAGATCCTCTCCCATCACTCATCCTATTAATGACTACAAGAAGCTGGAGAGGGCTGCATTTTCTCTGGAATTAACTTCTGGCAGCGAGAGAGAATTTAAGAACCCAGCCAGCTGAAACAAGATCTAGTCCCACAAGGGCAAGTTAATGGATAGGATGACCTGCATTCTTCCAGGTATGGAGAGGCAGCGGTCTCCGTTCCTTCACAAGGTGACTAGTTAAGTCTACCCTGAGGCTGCAGTGGGACAGTGTTTGGTTTTTGCCGAGCCAGTCTGCCCCCTGACCTCCCTCTAGAGAGGACACGTTCAAAGTGGAGAGGATACCTGCCTACCTGCTTGGGGAATACCTCCCCTCTCTCCCTCATTCTTTTATTGCAATTCGCCTGCAAGTCTTCGCAAAGGAAAAATAAACTCCAGGTGATTTTCAAAGGCGAAGGGGAGACTAAACCATCCATCGTTCCTTCTGTCTTCGAGAGTGGAATTTCGGAACTGGAAGGTCCATTCTGAGGGGGACAAGAAGGTTGCCTGGCTAGAATCCGTGACAGGCAAAAGGAATCCAAGCCTTTTTCTCTCTCTCTGGCCCACATGAAACATAAATTGCCCCCTGCCCCTGCCAGCGGAACCAAATCCAAGTCTGTTCCAAGCAGGGCCATGTCTGAGGGGAAGCTCTGTCCTGGAGCCAGTCAAGCCACCCAGAGCTGGGTTCTAATCCTCCTCTGAGCTGTCCTCGGAGTTCTCGTCAGCAGCTACTTTCCAGTTCTTCCTCTTGCTGCGCTTCTCCGGTGCCCTGTCCCCTGCTCTGTCGGGCAGGGGAGCCTGGCGTTTCCGCCTCTTCCTGGCCGGCTTCTCTGAGTCACTGTCCGCAGAGTGGCTGGAGAGGCAGCTGCTGGCTTTGCTAGAGCCGCTGCCTGGATCCGAGGAAGAGGCGGGAGGCTCATCTGAGGCCTTCTTGCCCTTGGCGTGGCGCTTTTTCCTCCTCTTGGGGGGCTCTCCCTCCGAACACTCGGACTCCTGGGAAGAAGCTGCCCCTGTGCTCGGCGGCTCCTCTCGTTTCTTCTTCTTTTTCTTCTTGTGAGACTTCTTTTTCTGCTTCTTTTTGTGTGACTTTTTGGGCTTTTTCCTTTTGTGCAGCTTCGCAGAACTCTGCTTGTCTGACTGGGATTTTCTTTTTCCATTCACGGAGTTTTGTTCATCTGGTTCCCGGTCACTGCAAAACACAACCAGGATGCGTTTCAGTTTGGGATACCTTTTCTGAAAGTTAAAAACTCGCAAAAAAGTAACAATTGTGGTTTTTTTAATGTTTTCTAATCTTTCAGATGAGCCACGACTGCAAATGCTTAAGCCCAGTTAACATTTCATAATGACATTTCTTATAGTTCAGATTTTAAAAACTGGGGACCCTATTGGACAAAATGAGGTGAAGTAAACTTTATCAAGCCATTTGTGGTGTATTTCAGATGTCTCTGCCCTATCCTAGTAATCAAAGAAGATTCAATAAGGCTTTGTGGGTAGAAGGTAATGTCCATCAACTCATGGGCTGCTCTATATAGAAATTTAAATTAGTGGAGAAAACAAAACCATAAACCAGAGTCTGAATCTGGGTAATTTGAAATATCCAATTTTTCTCCAGAGTGCGATGGGAAAATTATATCTAGTATAGAAGCAAAAGTTTTTGACAGTAAAGAAAAGAGCAAACAGAATGCATACATTTAAGGCCTGGACTATTTTAACATCCAAAGGAAACCATTTAGGATTTTGGTACTTTAAGGATTTACCTGTCTGTATCAAATTCTTCTGGATACAACTCTTTGTAGCCACTGTGACCCCATCTGTAAAAAATTAAAAAAAAGGAACAAGCACTTGAAGATTACACATAGCCTCTTTATGCAGAAACATCACTGGAACAGAGACCCGTTGTCTTTTTTTTATTATTGGAAACCTTCCATTTATGGGACGGTACCTGTCCGGCATGTTAGCTTCGCATTCGTAGAGCTTCTTGTTCCAGTAGCGGGCATGTCGAAGGTCGTCTTCAATGGTCACTGCCATAACTGGCATGTTCCTTGTCCTCCAGCTGTTCTGCTGGCTGTCCTCATCAAACCCATCGCTACGCATCCGGCTGCTGCAGAGGCCGTGGGAGATGGGCTGGTAAGCTTTGTGGGGAAAGCTTCTCTAGCAGGAGGAGTCAGAAACAAGATCCACCACACTGCCCACCCCCACCACAGTGATCCTGCAGACATCCAGCTGCATAAACCAAGGGACCAGATTCACCACTTTGGCTGAACTAAAAATCTTCTCGCTAAAGTTGGCATTCTTCCCGAAGGCAGGACTGCCACTTTTTGACCCAGAGGCGGCTCTATTGTTTTCTAAAAGTTATAGTCTTTAGGGAAACAGAAGTTCTGCCCTTCCCTGTTTCACAAAGGCTAGGACTCAAATGGCCAGACTCGCTTCTGTTTTAGGGACAGAGTGAGCAGCCAGATTGGCATGAACGGGACGGCAGGGCCAAGCCTCTCACAAAGGGAAGCGAGCGCAGGGAAGGCACAGCCAAGAAGAAGGTGCAGGCAGGCACTGCCAGCTGTTTGTGAGTGGTGTAGCTTTAATAATGTTCAAATCCTACCTGGAACTGTTCAGAAGAGCCCTCTCGTGTTTGCCCCAGCGTATCTCTTGGCTCTGCTTCTCCATCTCCCGTATTTTCCACATTTCTGACTCTTCCTGGATCTGAGATGGAGGGGCAAAGGAAGGCACTGAGGAAAGATACAAGCCAGGCTGCTTTGCTTACGGGAACAGCGAGGAGGAGCGACCCGGCCCCTTACCTTGTTGTGGGCGTCAGTGTGGCGAATGACATTCCGCAAAAGGACTTTTCCCAAGGGGACGCGGGACATCTTTCCTGCACCCAACAGGCCGCGAAGAAAATGCCCTGGAGGGAAGGAAAGTGGGAAGTGAGGGAGGGAGGGAGGACAAAGAGAAAAGGAAGGAATTGGGAAGAGGAAAGTGGAAAGAAAGAGAAGGAAGGAAAGGAGGGAGAGAGGAAAGGAAGGACTGAGGAACAGGAAGAGGAAAGAGAAAACGAAGGAAGAAAGGAAAAGAAGGGGAGGGGAGGAAAGGAGGGAGAGAGGAAAGGAAGGACTGAGGAAGAGAAAAGAGAAAAGGGAAAGAAGAAAGGAAAAGGAGGAGAAGAAGAGGAAAGAAGGAAAGGACGGAGAGAGGAAAGGAAGGAATGGGGAAGGGAAAGAGGAAGGAAAGGAAGAACGGAAAAGAAAGAGAAGTGGAGGGAGGAAAGAAAAGAGAAGGAAGGAAAAAGAAAGGAAAGAGAAAAGAAACCAAGGAGGAAAAAGAGGGGGAAAGGGCTCCTTCTCTGCCACCGTCTGCAACCGCCGAGGCGGGCAGGCCCAGCCCAGGGACCCCCTCACAGGTCAGCCACGCGGTTCTCTGGCCCGCCGAGCGCCGCGGGGAGCCTGGGTCACTTAGTGGCCGGATCCCCGACCATCCTCGCGGGGCCGCCGCGCCACGGAGACCCACCTGGCGAGGTTGGCGGGCGGGCGTGCCACCCGAGGGACGGGAGGCTACCCAGCGCCGGCGGGAAGCCGCCCCTCCGCCGCCCAGGTCCCGCGTGCTGCCGCCGCTTCTCTGGCCCTCCCCGCCGGACCCGGGACGGGAGCGCGCCTGGCTCCGCGCCGCCACCGTGGCTGGCCCAGGCCCGGAACCCGCCAGCGCGGCCGAGCGAGCCGACCGGCGGAAGGCGACGGAGCCACTTCCGGCCGGCCCGCTTCCGGGGCTGCCATGGCGACCGGCGGTCGCCTGGCAACGGCGGCCAAGGGGCGGAGCCCGTGGCCGTAGCCTAGGCGACCCACCGGTAATGCGGAGTTCGTCGCACCTGCCGCCCTTCGGCTGGGGATGATGGGGCTGGGAGTCCCACCGCTCGTGCGCCTTCGCCTCCAGGGCCACGTCGCTGGGAGAGCCATCCCAATCGGCTGGGGCGAGGGCAGGGGGGGGGCTCCCCCCGCAGCCTCCCCCCGCAGCCGTCCGTGGCCGCCCTTCTTTCTTCAACAGGTGGCCCGCGTGCAGATCCATGCCAGGAGGGCGCAGGGGCTGTACAAAGCCCTGGCAAGTGGGGCACCGTACCTAGAACCATGAATGATGCCCAGGTCAAGGCTCTGGAGCAGTTATTTTTTCCCCTTGGCCACTTTAAGAGGGGTGGACTTCAACTCCCAGAATTCCCCAGCCATCATAGCTGGCTGGAGAATTCTGGGAGTTGAAGTCCACCCCTCTTAAAGTAGCCAAGGAGGAAAAGCCTTGCCCCAAAGGTATCTTGGCTGGATGGGAAAGAGGAATGCCATGAGGGCAGCCGTCAGCAGAGAACCTCCATTGCTGCCCGCTTGGAGACAAATCTGGCTGCCTCTGACTGCCCTTCATCACTTTTCCCATAATGGTTGCCTTTCCAAGGATTAATGGTGGGGTTTGTGTTTTGTTTCGTGCCAAGGAGAGGCCAAGGGAAAAAGAAAGGTCCCCTTTCTGTACCATCTGGCTCGGCTTTTAACTAGACCAGGAGGCCTGCCAAAGTAACACACAGCCTGATAGCCTAACTCAGTTTATGTTAGAAGCTAATGAAGAAAGCCTTTAAAGGGACAACAGGACTTCTAAAAAAAATCTGCTTTTGTCTTTATCCAGTTAGGTTTAACATCAGCAAGAGAGGTCCTGCATGACCGAGGAACTTCAGATTGAAGTATTTTCAGTTACTGGTGTGACGGCCTCTACAGAAGCATCTTTTTGCTGTTAAGGAGCAGCCATGGAAGCTCTTCGTAGCTCGGAGGAGATGCTGAGCAAAGCAACTCAGCTGTGGACGATGCTGGATGACATGGCGGAGAACAACCCTGGAAGTTACCGCCAGTTCATGCAGCAGCAATTAAAGGAAGCAAAGCAGCATTATGCTCCCCCAGAGCCATGGCTGTGCCTGAAGACCTGCATCTCGGTAGGACAACATTCAGCAGAGCAACAGCGAAGAAACATAAAGGGCCAGATACAGTTTCTCCTCTTAGCAGAATGCCAAGCCTTCCTTTGACTTGAAAATAATGTACAGTGTGTACATTGGTGCATTTGATAAGTGCTCTCTTGTAATGTTACTTCACAATTTACTATTTCCTTGTTTGCATCAGGCAATAAGACAGTGAAAATATTCCAGATGCACCATCACTTTTTCAGTCAATAAGAGCAGTAGACATTGCTTGCAGTGAATATGATTGTCAGTTATATGAATGTGTGTGTTTTAATAAATCATGTAATGTTTTGATGGTTATTTTGCCTTGTGCTTTTCTCATAGGAACCCACCAAAACCTGCCTATTCATAAATCTGTGCAGTTGGAATAGGATCCCTGCTCCCAAGTCACCCTTAGAGCCAATTCTGTTGAGTGCTGGCAAAATGGAGACGCTATCAGATAATTCAGGTAATCTCTTATTACAAAATCTCAGTTAGTGCAATAAGTTCTACAAGCTGACATGAGGTATTATATTGCTTTGTTCCTTCAGGAATGAAACTTACATAATTCAGTTAGTCCAATCGTAAACTCGGGTCAGGCTATATTTGAGGAAAGAATAAATTGTATTTGCTTTTTTCATAGAGATCTACAGCATCCTTGACATCGCATACAATCCATCCGTTCTTGAGCGAGTCAAGGATAACCCACCAGAGAAGGATCAGTTGATCCACATATCACTCAAGTACATTGAGGAGCATTTCAACGTCACTTTGTCTCATTCCTGGAGCGTGGCAAAATTTAAATTGAAAGGAAGCCTTGAAAGGATGAGGGAGAGCCTGAGAAAAGAACAGCCCCCCTTGGCTGTGTCCCAGAGCAACTCCAACAAAGGTAACGTTCAAGGTGCCACTCCAAAGGGGGGGGTTATCCTACCCATCTTATGTATTTAAAGGGAGCCTTCTGAGGATTTTATCTCTGAGAAGAGGGACATGGCCCCCCACTATAGGAATATGCTGCTTCCTGAAGGTATTTTGCACCAGTTTTTCATAAGGCACTGAAAAAACATCCTTTTTAAGTGGGCACTTGCTGCCTGACAATTGTCAATATTGGGAAATATTTTTCTTCACTGAATTTGTTTCTAGTTGTCCCCTTATGAAAGGGTAATATAGAAATGTAAAAAATAAAAGTATCTATAAAACATTGCACTTGGCAAGTATTACCTAAAGAGTTGTCCTCTTTATTTGAAATGGATGGGATGGCTTTCTCTACAGACAAGCGTTGAAAAGCGTGCGTGAACATCATACAGAAGTGTGTTACATTTCCATATATGATTAACTGCACAGTTGTAGCAGCTAAGATTTCTGTCATCAGCTAACAATTTTAGCAGACCGTAACTGCAAACATCACTGCAAACAATGAAAATGGGAGAAGAGGCAGGAGCCCTGGTGGCACAGTGGTTAGAAGGCAGTATTGCAGGCTAACTCACTGCCCACTGCCGGGAATTCGATTCTGACCAACTCAAGGTTGACTTAGCCTTCCATCCTTCTGAAGTCGGTAAAATGAGGACCCAGACTGTTGGGGGGCAAGATGCTGGCTCTGTAAACCGCTTAGAGGGCTGTAAAGCATGGTGAAGCGGTTTACAAGTCTAAGTGCTATTGCCATGTAATGATGCTTTTGTTCTGTAGCAATGCGCTCCACTTATTTGTCTAAACTCTTGTGTCTGAAAATCCTCTTGGGAAGAAGTGACACCTAACCAACTGCGAAGTCTCATGACCGAAGACAGCAGTGGCCTTATTCTGCCGCCAGAGAACCCCACAGCTTCCAAAAAGCATCTAATTGAAGAGATTTCCACTACAGACAAGCCAGAGGTGCACAAACCTGCCTACGAAATGACCACCAAGAAGGATGCAGATGAGGAACCCCTAGAAATTGAGCTGAGAATTGAACTGCCAGATGTTTGCGGTGTGTCTGAGTGTAATTTGAATGTCTCTAAGGTGAGGCAGCTACAAATTGCATATTATTTCCACCCCTCCAGTTTTGCCAGCCAGCCCCATTTGAATCTCAGATGTCTCCCTGCATCGTCTTTTCAGGATGATGTCTTGGTCGAGTGCCTTGAAAAATACAGGCTGCAGGTGGATCTTCCAGTGTCTGTGGATGAAGAAGCAACATCAGCAACGTTTTATAAGAAGAAAGGAATATTGCTCGTCAGAATGCCTGTGTACAAGGGGAAATGACATTATCTGATACGGTCTGGGAATACACCCTCTCCCCTTCTCTTGATAAACTTCATCTCCTTGTCCAGCACTTCCTATTCAGCATTTTACACAGGTTAATATTAAGTGTATTGGTTACATGCCTCTACTATATTGTATTCCTGAGTTTTAAGGCTAAAATTCTTGCTGCCTTTGAGGAATGTAAAAACCCAGGATAAAATGCACCCCTAAATACACGTTTTAACATTTACTTTGAGGGCTGTTTTGAAGGCATAGTTTCTGCTGCAGTTTAACTGTAAAAGATTAACAAATAAATGAACTCTGTATCTTATTTCCCCCCATTAACCAAAACAATAAAGGAAAAAAATGTCTTTTCAATCATTGATGGATTTGAATTATTTTTTAACAGTTCAGAGAAATTCCTGTAGTCTCAGAGGTCAGATTACATTTTCTTGGAGAAGCAGGGGAAAATACTGTATGGGTGGAACATTTTTTAATCCAAAGCCAACTTGTTCCTCTAACTGCTTCTTTTAAGTCTCCCATTTATTTTGCCATTTTAACATAAAAACCCTTTCAAAATTTAAAGAATGCTTAAAGAAATAAGCGCTATCTGCAGGTGTGGACAAAGCATTCAAAATGACATCCACAATTGTACGTTTGAAGTTATGCCCAAATAAAAATGGGCATAACTTTGATCCGGTTATGGCTGCCATATTGACTATACCCTGCGGACACAACTGAAGGGATGTGATTCCTTACAAAAGGCTCATTCAAGTGCTAAATATTGCAAAGGAACATTCCGACCTTTTGGTTCACTTGGATTAAAAAAAATAAATTGCTAAAAACATTGAAAATGACTCGAGTTAGCAGCAGAGGCCTTCCAGAATTGAGAAACTAAGTGCCTTCCCACTTGACAGGATAATGGCATTTATCCATTTTTGCTCACCAAATCATTATATTCAATGTCTATGCACAGCTAAGCAAAAAAACAGCAGCCCGGAAAAGGAATAGCAGTCTAAAGAACATCAAACCTTTAATGCCAATCTGTTACCAACTTAAGATGTTTTAAGCACTTTTGTTTCCAAATGGTTGAATTACAACCAACTCAACAAATTGGTTCTCAGAAAAAAAATATTTAATTGCATGTATATATTTGTAGTGGATTTGGTAGCGCAAATTGACAAGAGACAATATTTAATGAAGTGGTGACATACAGATTAACATGGGGTGAATCGGGTAATGGTCTACTTGGCTGCTCAGGTCACATCACTTAGCAGTTACATGATCCACCTTTTAAAATTAGCTTCTCCTTGGAAAACAAGAGGCATTTCCCATTAGCGTCTCTGTATACCTAGGACACAATTAAAAACGTGACTGGGCCCTTTTTAAAAGAAATTCCATTTCTAGCAAAGATGTACATATTTATATGACTTATGAAATTCTGTTTCTCTTGAGCCTGGGATGGACAAGAAAGCAAAGTTGTTCCAGAACAGCAACCAGATCCAGTAAAAATGTGGTTCTGATTTCTTTGAATTTGAAAGAATGGGGCCTAATTGTCCTACTGATTTCAGTGGAATTCAAGCACAATTCACATCTGGTTGGGCCAGTTGATAACAAGGCACCGGGGTTTTCCTCCTTTCATACAATTAGGGGCATGCAAAAGTTTTTATTTCAGCTATTCTGAGGTCAACGTCCCATTTCAAATGCAAGGCTGCTAGAGGCCCAGGTGCAGCTGCAATATGGGCTGATTTTGAGAACTTCTGGAGTGCTTCCTGCTTAAGACAGCCCATTTTGCATGGGAAACAGCAGTTTCGCATGCGGGATAGGACATTTCACAAGACTGCACACTCAAAACGCAATAGGAAAGGTTTTTTTAACATTCCTGTACACAACTCTTGCTTAAATGATGGAAATGCACTCTCACGTTCCTTTTAATGGGACAAAAGTCCCAGACTGCCCAGCCTAGACCATTAAGCGGGGGGAGAAGCCTATGGTGGAGTCTGTAATGAGAGTCCATATGTTGTTTATCTTTAATTGAACCCAGTTTCACCAGTTCCCTTAACAAATGACTTCTGCTTGGAGTAAAACAGCATTTACTGACCTAGAAAGGAAGCAAAACAACACATGCTTAAATTACGGAAACTCACATAAGGCAAATCGTCAGAAGGATTTCAAAGAGCCATTCAGTTTAGGTGGTGTGGCTCAAACATTCATTTTCTCTTGCAGTGCGCTAAAAGGATTCCCGTTGCTGGAAAGTCTAACAGTTGAATTTTGCAAAGTTAGAATGTCAACTGCTCTGATCCATCTTTTTTTGCAGTATTTAGAACACATGGGGGGAGGGGTCGATTTTTTCTGCTGAAAATTTAAATTGTGCTACATCTACGTTTGCATTTTTTGTTATTTCATATTCAAATCCCTAGTTTTATTGAAAATGAAGGCTGAGCCATCTAGCTGGTGGGGTGGGTAGGAGCCTGTGATACCCTGCAACATTGTGATCAGAAGCATTACAACACATGATTATTTTCAACAACTGGGGAAAAGTTTGCAAATTCATCCACTGAATAAGATAGAGCGCAGCTGTACTTGGCTTCGGAAGGCCCCCCGCAGAACCTTTAAATCTCTATGACTGGTAAATCAAAATTACCAGTCACTGTTTATAGACTTTTTTTAAAAAATAAAAGAAGGAAACATTTTTTTTAAAGTCTAACCCTTCGATATATAAATAGCTTCTTTAGAATGAAGCGATTAGGTTGCCAAAGTCCTTGAGAAACTATAGCAGCATCGTAGCTGGTTTTTCCAGGAATCTCTTGAATTCTGCGAGCCACTGGGCCCCCACTGCCCCGTCCACAACACGGTGGTCACAGCTGAGGGTCACAGACATGACACTGGCCACATCGAACCTGTGGAGAGAGGGGAAAATACTATCTTTAGCATTTCCTCGTGCACAGATGCTGACTTTCCACTGAAACATTTTTGTTTTAAAAAAGAAAACATTTACCCTTTTTCATTATCTGCCGGGACCAGCCTTTTCTCAGAGGCACCAATTGCCAAAATACAAGCCTGCGGTGGATTGATTATAGCCGAAAAATTCTTAATGCCATACATTCCTAAATTTGAGACTGTGAAGGTTCCTCCCTGTAAAGAAACACACACCTTAAGGCCGTTGCACAATCACTGGTGTTGAGTGTTGTGAACTAGAAAAGGAAAAGGCATCATAACCAAATCTACAGTGTTTCCTTTGAGCCACCCAAATGCAGAGACAGTTCAGTGAAGGTTGCTCACCTGGAACTCGTGGGGCTGAAGCTTGCCTTCCCTCGCTTTGCTGGCTAATGTGACAACATCTTGGTTAATGGAGGCCAACCCCTTTGTGTGTGCATTAAACACAATTGGCGTTATAAGCCCTGCTGGAGTACTGACCGCCACGCTTACGTCAACTACGTGATTTCTGAAAGACAGAAAGTGTGTGTCCATTGGGGAGAGTCCGCAACCACTCACAAAATCTGTTGGAATAAATATTGCAAGATACTTCTTTAATAATAGCCCAACTGGCTTTCTAGGAGGAGCCAAACCTTCACCCCTGCCTGGACCGTCTGTATACTTACTGCCTAATGACTGTTTCTAGCCACGAAGAATTCGCTTCAGGCACCTTCAAACAGGCCAGAGCTGAAGCTTTAATAATGAAGTCGTTGACTGAGAGCTTGGTATTCTGTGGCATCTCCTGCAGAGGAATAGCCAAGGGAAGAAATATTGGTCAAATTGATTAGAGAGCAAAGTTACCAAAGAATTATTCTTTCAAAACTGGGGAACCTCCAGAAACAATAGATTTCAAATCCCAGGATTTTCAGCAATGTCCTAGCTGGCTGGGGAATTCTGGGAACTGAAGTTCACATATTAGGAAGGCACCTAATTCAAGAAAACCAACAGCCAGATGTATATAATCCTATTGCCATCAGAAGTACAATAGTTGTGATTATGCAACCAGAATGACCCAGTTAAGAAACCTGGGATTCCACTCACACTTGCTGTTTCTATGCTTTCCAAACAATGTGCATATTTTTCTCAAAGGCAAGTTCTAGAAAGAAATGCTTTTACTTTACTTTTAAACCTACAGGGTTTAATTTGATTTCACAATTTTAAGTGTCACTTCATTATACTTGTAAAATTTGTGTTTTCTTATGGAATTAGCCTTAAATGAATTATCTTTCCCTTACATTCTCCAAATCTCAGATTACAGAAATGACAGAAATCCTAGAAATGCAAACTTGAGGGAACATCCGCAGCTAATTGGAAGGATGGAGAGTTAGATGCACATAAGCATCCAATTTGCTGCATAAGTCACAATCATTAAGTTACCTGGTTGAGTCCTTTCCTCAGCACCAATATTTCTCCCATGTTTATATCAACAGAGAGATAATAGTGAGGTATCGTTTGTTTAGACTGCATCAAACGCTGGGCAATCACCTATAAGCAAAGTATGCACATAATTAGATAACGTTACTTAAAATGAAGTTAACTGCTTTAATATAGACCATATTAAAGCTGGGAGCTTTAGTGCACCATTTTTCAAATATCCAGAAAAGCAGATTCCCAACTATTAGTCAAAAATTACCTCCAAATACTTGGTACTTGATGTCAGCTTTGTCTAATCAATTTCTGGCTAATTCTTACTCCTCTTTCCAGATTAACATTTTGAATGCAAATGCCCGCGCCCCCCCCCCAAAAAAGTGGGGAAGTCGATTAAAATCCCCCCCCATAGCAACTCCAAAGAAAATTCTCCAAGTCAAAACCTGGCCTCCACCCTCTGCAAGGACTGAACAGAAGTCATCCCAAAGCCTCTTCATGGGTCTCAATTAACCACTACTTTGGTGTAGTGGTTACAGCACCAGGCTACAACTGTTAGGCCGTGATTCTAGTTCTGCCTTAGGCACAGAGCCAGCTGGCTAACTTTGGGCCAGTCTATCTTAGGAAGTAAGCAGTGAAGAAGTTACTTCCAAAAAAACCTTCCTATGAGAATTGCAGAAACTTGTCTAAGCAGATACCAGGAGTCAACACAGACTCAAAAGCTCTATCATCTATCTATCTATCTATCTATCTATCTATCTATCTATCTATCTATCTATCTATCTATCTATCTATCTATCTATCTATCTATCTCTCTCTCTCTCTCTATCTATCTATCTATCTATCTATCTATCTATCTATCTATCTATCTATCTATCTATCAAATCTAATCTAATCTAATCTATCATCATCTATCCATCCTTACCTATATCCTAACCTAACCCTTGACCATTGTAAGATGTGTGGAGTTCAATTCACATCTTAAAGAGGCCAAGGTTAAACACTGTTCAGTCTGCCTGCCTGCCTACGACATGAGAGGCGCCAAGGGCTGTGACTTACCTTTCGAATATTACTAATGGGAATATCAGTAAAGACACCTGTGGGGGCAGCTGCAGCCACTCCTCTTGCAACTGTGGGAGATGGTGCAGCCAGAGGAACCGCACCCGGTGCCGGGGCCTGTGGGAATACAAGCACGTCAATGAAAAAGCACCAAAAGCACCAAAGGGTCGCCTGGCAGAATGGAAAGAGAGCTTAGGATTCTCCATGTTATTCCAGAAGAGTTTGAAAGCTGCACCGAAGACCCCTGCCTGCTCTCTTGCTGTGAAATTTTCTCAAATCTACAAGATACTCCTAACTCTTCCCTTTGCTGCATCACAGCCCCTGTGCTTGAAAGCAAGTTTTCAGCCGAAGAAACTCAATTCAATTGGAAAGAAAAAAAGAACTTGGGAGATTTGTGGAAGGGGCAGCAAAAAAGACACCACGGTGGCAATGACAGTGAAAAAGCGGGCAGACTTTTGCCCTAGCCAGATCTTGTCCTGCAGCTTGCAGCTCACAGGCTCCCACACCTTCTCAAAACAGGCCAAGTACCAGAAATGCAGTAAGCAAATCCTTGGCAGATTTGCTAGTGTATAACTCTACTGAATAGCCTTTGGAAAGTCAGGTGAAAAATTTATGTTTGCATCATGTTCCTAGCAAAGACCACCGGCTCAAAGCAGGAGATAGAATCCTCTCCCTGCCCCTGCGCATGTGTGAGGATGGCGGACCTACTGTTTTCGGCTCCGTAGTCTCCGCGGGGTCCTCAGCGGAGATGGGGGAGCCTTGAAAGGTCCGGGGGTGCTCGCCGGCTGGAGTTGGAAGGAGGAGAGGGTCGGCGAGCGAAAAGGACGAGTTGGACCACCCGGTCGGAGCCGTGAGCCGTGAGGGGAGAGCGGAGCAGCCGAGCAGCCGAGCGGAGCGGCCTGGTGAGCGGCCTGGTGAGCGGAGCGGAGCGGCCTGGCGAGCAGACGAGTGGACGAGCGGACGAGCGGAGCGGCTGGCGAGTAGAACGGAGCCGGGCGGCCGGGGAAACCGGCGGCGGGCCGTCTCGGGGCCTGACGGGGCCTGACGGCGGGCTGGCGGCGGGTCGCCTCGGGGCCTGGTGGAGAGGTTGGAGAGGCCGGGGCCTGGCGGAGAGGCTGGAGAGACCGGGCGAGGAGAGGCCGGGGCCTGGCGGAGAGGTTGGAGAGGCCGGGCGAGGAGAACGAAGCCGAGCGGCCTGGCGGCCTGGCGGCGAGGTTGGAGAGTGGAGCCGGGCGGCCGGGGGGAGCCGGCAGCCGGTCGTCTCGGGGCCTGGCGGTCGTTTTTGGGCCAGGTGGCCGGGAACATCGGAACACCGGAGGCCGGTCGACTTGGGGCTTGGCGGCCGGGAGGGTCGGCGGACGGCCGACGCGGGGCCTGGCGATGTGGGGCCTGGCGGCCGGGAGTACTGGCTGCCGGAGGACTTGGGACCTGGCGGCTGGGAAATCGCCGACCGGACGTTTCGGGGCCTAATGGCCAGAAAGAACGGCCAGGAAGAACGGCGGCCAGATGTGGCGGCGGCCTGATACGGCGGCGGCCAATAGCTCGACGCGACGGCAGCT